TATATATATATATATTATATAGGTAGACACTGGTCAGATGAGCCTTTCAAGGTTGAGCTAAGGGCTCAGAAGGTGAAGGTTAGCGCCTTTGGAAACATGCCTACTCTATATTGGATAATTAGGTCAACTGGACAGAATTGGTAAAAAAAATCTACGAAACATCCAGGAAAATGACTCAAACTAACTCACGTTGGCAGTTGCGTTCTCCAGGTCTTATAAAACAGAATATCTCCTATTACTCATATTCAGCCCTGCCGTCACTGCACAGTTCACGTCTCCATTGAGCTCTACATTTGGATGACACAGTACAATCTACGTGCCGTTATGACCGGGGTCGCACCGCAGCTTCTTAACTGTCGACCTGAGTGCGCACTTCTTCCTTTGTACTTCATAAATGCAAAAAACCGACAGCTCGAACCATTTATCGACTCGTGTGCGGTTCGTAGGTAGTGGCGATGTTTGTCATGGTGATGATAATGATGACGCTGGTTATGAAGCTCACGACGATGATGTCTATGCTGCTGTAAAAGTCAAGACCTGCTGCCGCAATTTGTTGTACTGTAGGGAAACGGGGATCTGCGCAGACAAGTCAAATGTGTAGGAAGAGTTCACATTGTGCATAGCTTCTCTTACGTCACTGAATTCCACACAATATGCCCCTGTTTGCTTCATTCTATGCTCACTTTTAGCTCCTTGATCAGATCCGCATAATGATTGAAGTCTGTTATCGTGCAAACTCTTCGTGATACACGAATCCAATACTGTGTTTACTCAACGGGGTGCCACACTTCCCTACCAATATGATACTACATTACTTGAACTTTGGAGGGCCACGCCTTGCCGCTTTGAGATACAGTGAAACAACTGCTCGATTGAAGCTGTCAACGGTATGACCGCCTTTAAAAAATATTTTCTACAGCATTCCAACTTGCACAATAGTTTCAAGGTGTTCGAGGAAAAGTGGACTCCGGTTATACGAGATCATGACAAGAAGAACGCAGCGGTATTTCATATTTTAAAGGTTTATTTTTTAGCTGTTGGAAAGCAGTGCAGTGAAAAAGCACCGTTCCTACGTCTTGTCCATGTTTCCCTATCCTTCCGGGACACTTCACCTCGGGCATTTACGCGTTTATACGGTCGCAGACGCGTTATCTCGTTATCGAGCTATGCGAGGGAATATTGTTCTACAACCGATGGGTTGGGATGCTTTTGGTCTTCCGGCCGAGAACGCTGCCATAGATAAGGAAGTATCGCCCGAGATTTGGACTGAAAGGTACGTACGTACGATTTGTAATAAGCTTTTTGTTCTGAAAGGCGTTGTCACGGAAACACAAAGAGGGAAATCCTTGCTGTGTTTCGGGCATATTTCGGATGAGCAATATACTTCACTGTCATCAATTTTCTGTAGTCTTTCCAGGACAAGCCATGTCCCATGAACTACTAGATGAGGGGTTACTGCCACACTATTGACGTTGCACGGTATTTATAAGCCTGCTGAAAACTTTTCGACAACTATTGTTGAGGCTCAACAACAGCACTGGATTTTCCCTTCGCAAATTCCCTAGTTGTAACTGTCTCGTGGAACTGAGGAGAAAAAAATGTTATTCTCGAAGTGCAGTGACTCTCTGTTGAAACGACTCCAAGTTTGCGAAATCCTCCCAGGGCGGGCAGACGAACCTCCCGGTTACCTACCGCAGAGTCCTTGTGGGTGTTGTCAGCAACCATCAACTATCCAGAACGAATGATCTGGAACTACCTGTGGTGAATGCTGATTTTTAATTGATATTACCGCGAAATAACGGTATCTACAGGCACCTACCTAAGATCGCTCAGCAGTTAAACGTGAACTTACTGACTAGTGAGTCCATGGTTCAGACTTTTGACCGATCTCGACCATCCTTTCCAGGCTCCGTAGCCTGGCAGTATATGAACTCTCGTATTTCCCTCAGGTGGCATGTTGGCTAGGCCGTCGTAGCTGAACGACAACAGGCCTGGCGCTTAAAACTAATCAGTTTACCGGTGGATCAGCCTAAACACACAACACTAGGTAGTTGATAGAGAGGCGCCAACACACGTAATCTTAGTATGGTGGAGACAAAATCCGAGGCTTAGTACAACATCCTATCGCGTCACTGGTGTAGACCTGGGTAACACGTTCAATGGGTTAGAAAGATCGAACTAATCCAGCGAGGTGTGGACGCTATAAAAGAGGCTAAGCGATTACGCGAAAAATGTTCATCATCGACAGCATGACATCAGCGTTCAACACCGGTGTTTCGCTACCGTATTTGTACGTGGGCTGGGATACTGTCAGGGCGCCCACAACCAGACAAGAGGACGATTAGGGTCCTCAACCAGAGCCTTTGGCTCGAAAGCCTAACCGAAAGGTAGCGGCACTTGGCGGGAAATGCAAGTACATTAACATTTCTACGGAATAATTCGCCGCTTGTTCCAACCTCCATCCTGGAGGACCAGGAGACTGTGTTCGTCAGGGCTCTAACCATTGACCAACTTGGTATGAGAGACTGTGAGTGTCGCGGGGACACCCCCAAGCATAGCTCAGTTGGTCGCCGAGGTGCCCAAACCGTCACACCACGGTAAGGTCCAGTCTCTTTGTGGCGGCGAAAAAGTTCACTTGCAGTTAATTTGATAATTTGGATCCCAGCTGAATCTCGTTTGTACTATTGTCAACCGTTGTTTAGTCGAGTCTCCCGTTAACAGCCATTCAGTTTTTGAACGAATATATTTGCAAACTGCGTATAACTTCATGTTTAAACGGGATATAAAACTGATGGAAACAAGGGACTGTACCTACCTGCTGAACCCCAAGAAACACTCACCCGAACTCCGTTCACAAGGAAACTTTAAGGGCCGCTGAACAGTACGTCTGTGTTGGTCATCGAATCCGGCCTTATTTTTGTGATTAGATTAACCCTCCGGCAAATAATTAAGAGGAACGCTCTTGATCCATATTTTTTTCGCACTTTTCAATACTCCTGATTGCGTTGGGATTTACAGTGAGCTGTCCACCCGTTTTGTTACAACTGGTACGGTTCATCCTAATTGTCTCCCACCTCTATCCAGCCTTGGAATGCACACTTCAAGCGACCACGTCCCTAATGAAGTGCCTCGTAAATAGCTTTTGTTCCGAGACAGATTCGCTGGAGCAGCAGCATCTTGTCCGCTAAGGTGACAGGGAACAAATAATCTATGTATAGCTACCAGATGGCTTAGTGGAGCGTGAATTTACTGACCGGAAGACCCGTGGTTCGAACCCGACATCTGCCTCTTTACTCCCCCTGTCTAGGCTTGGGCGACCTGGTAGTATCTCAGCCCTCGTGCTTTCTTCGGGCTACATGGCAGCTAGGCACTGAAAGTGTGTTATAACTGAGCGATTACTAGATTATCTTTACTGCCACTTCCCAAAGAATGCAGCGTTCTCTGCTCAAAATCCTTCCTCACGAAAGGTTTGTGGAGGCAAGGCTACGAGGTCGCAATAAAAAACCAGTGGCTGTAGTCAAAATGAGCACTTTTGGAGCATCGCACCCCCCCCCCGGATACGGTCTGCATGATGTAATACCTTACAAGACTATTCATGTATCCGATCCCAGTGGCAAGCTTTTGACTATGTTGATGTATGGCTACCAAGAGTATATCTTTCAAATTCATGTGACTTATGGGGGCACCGTACGTGAAATCCTATGGACGTGTACGAGTATACGACAAGCTTTCGCCTGGGTTCACCAAGTACACTGGTGTAAAACAAGATTGCTCAATCTCACCTCTCCTCTTCAACTTTGCTGTTGATGTACTACTTAAAATTTCTCTGCCGACATCTGAAACCTCGCTCGCAGACATTAATTATGCGGACGATATTGCTCTCCTTAGTTTCGATTCTTCAAAAATGCAAACCATTTCAAATGAGGTAAATAACTCTGCTACATGATTTGGGATGTGCTTCACACCTTGAGAGTGTAAATTACCGCTACAAGATCGGATGGGACCTAGCACGAACCTCATGTTTGCAGACCAGCCAGTCGAAATGGTAGATAGATTTGGTTACCTGGGTACTTGTATAAGTTCTGGTGGATTGGCTGGAGATGAGATTACTTTTTGAATCTGGAAGGGCAGCTTTTGCCAACCTCCGACATCTATGGCGCCGACGTGATGTCCGTCAAGGGGCACAGTTTACACTGCGGTGGTGCGATCGATACTGCTTTATGGAACAAGAGCGTTGCCTCTCTGCGCAGAGGACATACAGAAAATGTCAGTGTTTGACCATCGGTGTCTCCGAAGCACTGGTCAGGTCTGACGGGAAATTCGGATTAGCAATGCTGAGACACGCCAGATGGTCTTGAGAAGAAGAAACTCTCTGGCGATAGCCGACTTACGCTCCGTAGGTTACGCTGGTTAGGACATGTACTCCGCATGCCTGAAAGCCGTCTGCTTCGCAGAGCTCTTTTCGCCCATCATTGTGCTAAGTGAAAGCGACTGAGAGGTATGACATGGTGACGAAGTATGAAAACGCTAACCAGTAAACTTAGACGGACCGGCAACTGCCCACTCCCTGAGTGAGTCCTCGGGACTCAACTCACTAGTGGTTAATGACACTGACAGAAATGGTCCAATCGTGCACACACTGGCGCTTGCGCATCAAAGCTGTCATCTTCTATGTGTAGCTACCCTGTCCCCGAACTAAATGAACATGTCATCGCCTCCAAGGCTTGACTGAATGTCCCTCACTCTCCCGTTTTCCGGTGATTGGATCTGTGGCAACAGGAGTCAATGTGCCTACGGTTCACGGTTGATAGCTGATAAATTGAAAATTTGGATTCCTCTAGGGACTTGGGATTTTTCACCATGTGCGTGCACCTTCCCCGGTCTTTATATTGTTTACTAGGACCCTCCTTCTCCACAGTTTTATGGTAGTTTGGCACTAGCTTCCACCACCTGTAAGTGGCTGCCCATGATGTAGCTGATAACGATGTCCAGTACTCATAGACTGGTGTGGACTTTCTGAAGGTTAAGTATCGCGAAGGAGACTCGACTTGCCGGTGTCTCAGAATGTTTCCGTCTGCGACAAATCAACACATTCAGCACGCACCAGTCTAAAACAACTTCTAGCGTAAAGTAGACAATTTGTAGGTGGCTACTAGCATAAGTGACTTTGGCAAACTGTTTCGGCCGATTCGGCCGGTGCTAACCCTCAGAGCTAAACCTATCTGGGGCCACAGGACAGTACAACCACCAAATGGGTGGTAAGTTCTGGTTGATAACTCAATCGTCTTATGGAAATTAAGCAACACTATTCACTATTAATGCATTACTATAGTTGATGATAATAATGCTGGTGATGGTGAATTGCTCCTCGAATGGATCTTTCAAACTCTCGCCCAGGCCCCTTGAATGCCTACAACATCAGTTACAGTGTCCTCTTGGAAGTGTTTTGCTCAAATCATTGCTTACCTACAGATCAGGGAATCCTCTAGAGGAACCATCGCTTTTACGACGGATTCATACTCGAAGACACTTCCAGTCTGAATGATGTGCTCCATTTCTGCTACTAGTCCCGATGGGAGGTAACAGAGCAATGTGCAGCAATGTCGGGACATCGGCCTTGCCTGTGGAACAGCCCAAATCTCAATATTTTTGTTGTTTACTACTATACGTGCACGTGTCCGATCTAGTCAAAGAGGCTCTCTGCGAGATTATTACTATTTAGTGAACATAAGAATATCATTTCAAGCCACAACAACCTACTAACTCATTCTTCATAAATTCACTCGACCGCAATTATCTATGAGAAAACATGCCGTACGATAAGCTGCAGTTGGTCGTACCACTCTTCTTTTAAAGTTCTAGTCCGAGTATGTGGCGAAGTGTCTTGTGACTTTGGCTCCTGCCGTGCTATGGCAGAAGCATCCTGTATCGTCGATACTATTCGTTATTTGTTTAATGTGTAATGCTCACGAGTTGCGGATATTTGGGCATCCGATGTGGAATATGCTGGCATAGTTGTTTTGCTGGGCGAAAACCTGGATAATCTTTCACCGAGCTTGAGCCATATGCTGTCAAACTATCTTGAACTCAACGCTTCTAAGATAAAAAACTCGTTCAACAAACAACAAACTACTGCTGGTTGTGGATGACTTCTATGTCGAGAAGTGCTCGTGTTCAGATAACCTGGTTACCACATCTTATCTAACAAACAAGCGAAGGATCAGGTAGAGGTACACTTTGATGACGCCATGATAGCATTTCTGCAACTGAAGTGTGGTGTATGACGTAAGTTGAACAGTGACCTCAAGACCGAATTATGGGTCCGCCAAGCTCCTACCAAACTCTACATTAATTTTCGGATGATCTCTGGCTACAAGGAAAGTATGAAAAAGTAGGCAGTTATTCATTGGTGCCCGGGGAACCATAACTAAAATGAAATTGTTCGGTTAGGTATACACTGAGACAGTCCGGCAACACGGTTGTGATAAACTGATGCGCACCCCCAGCAAAGTCAATCTCAACGTTTCAGATACACGCTCTGCAAATCAGATATTGGGCATATCCAAACCTATGCCGATGTTTGTGGTTTCGAGGCGGAAAACTGAAGAACTGGTTGTCCACTTTCAGATCAACCGTCTATCATCTCAAGGGCCAGTCTGTCAACTGGGGCGGACGTTTGAAGTAAGACTGGGGCACCATTTCACCGTCGTCATCGATAGCACATCAGTGTTCAGGATTGGTGGTTCGTCTCTTGATGCAACCATAATTTATTTGAAAGCCTTACTTTCGATAAGGAATACATGGGGGGTGGGAGGGATAAAATCTAGTCCCAACCCGGTACAGGTTTTCCGAAGTGCACACACCTCCAGGCACCCATTTTGACAAACGGGATAGGGAACATCAACAAGAATGCCGTTGTCATCGACTAGAAGTTGTGTCTTGCAGCATCTCCATCCATGCTTAAGAAGAATCACACAGACCCCATCATGGAAGGTGGGTCTCACCGACACTACCCGGACTTTTCGTTGTCGCTTTCATGTCTCTGCCGAGTCGAAGGTTTCCCACTTCTCTGAATCTGGCGCGGAAAACAGTACTTTTTGTAGGCAATTATTCGGTGTGTGCATTATGTGACCAGATCACCACAGCTTTTGGTGCTGGGCACATTCTCTAGTGGAAGTTTCCGTTACACAACCGCACACTTGTCTTTCTACTGCCTCTGCGGATTCTTTAGCACCGGCGTACACCACCTGTGGTTGTAAGACCTGTAGGTGTCGGTTCTTCACAAGGTCCTGTCTCGAATGCCATGCAACAACTGCTGCTCCTGTAGACCCATGCACGGCCCTTGATACTCAGAATGATGTAGCTGTGTCGATGTGTGTTCTACCTCCGTTTTCTGTGACACTCTGCTCACAACTGTGGACAACTAATTCAAACAAACGTTGACTGATGGCCTCACACCCCTCCTTCATCATTACCAGAGATGACCACATCAATGTTAACACTTGCTTCACTGCTTGCAGCCATAAAGTTTGCCGATTTTTATCTGAAGCCTGGAGGTGAAAAAAGGAAAGCACTAGATTGGGATTGGATTTCATGCTGCCTACCATGGGTATTACCAGGTGTTTACACATTAAAGCAAGACAATCAAGACAATCGGGATAGAAACTGACAGCATGAACCGATGTCGGTTAAACATCATATCTTGCAACGTTTCCAGTCAAACACAGAGAGGAGATCCCCGAGATCCCATCGTGAAAGGCGGTGCACACCAACAACACCGAAACTCTTAATCTTTTTACATCCTGCCAAGTCATATGTTGTCTACTTCATTCAGAAGAAAGCCCAGAGAATAACACGCCTCAGTGGATAATGACAACCTGCGTATCAGATGGTTGAGCCACCCCATCATCCGGTGTAGGAACTTGGTAGCGCTTGACAGAAGAAATGCTATACAAACCTTTGAGGCTCTGTGGGGGTTCCAGTCTCACCATTTCGGATTGTAATGCAAGGTCAGAATATAGTTTAGTGACAACATGTGCTTACGATTGTCTCCTTATTCTAACTTGAATATGTTCGCATGTTCAGGTGCGCGCAACCTGGACCAATGGAGTGCTGGTAGCACGCTTGCATCTCATGTCAGATGTCCGACGTTCAAACTCCGGCATGGTTGGAGTTGTGCACTGCTTGTGAGTCCTAATAAGGGCAACATTTGAGTCCAGCGCTTCCCCACTTTGGTGCAGATTCATGAGAATAGTTCCTCCAGGACTGGAGACTTATCTGAACTCTTCTGAGAGTAAAGAAAGCAAGAATCGCAAACACCAACATCACTACCTAATGGGAAATGGCTATAGATACTGTCTCGATGATAGGAGGTTGATTGTTTCTAACTTTTTTTAGTATTGTTCATAGAGTCCCAAGTAAATAGGCTAGAACGCGTGAGTTTACAACAATAACGAAGATGAATGTCATAAACGCACATGTTCTAACGGAAGTCCCGCTGACTAAATAGGGAAATTTGGAGCAATATAAATTTTTCTAGAGAAAGTCACTCGTGTGAAGAGTCGACAGCCGTAAGCTATTTGAGAGCAGCCCAAATTACATCGCTACAAATACGTGTAAACGCGGTATTGGGTTAATTGATTATAAGTAACTGAAACACCGATGAAAAGCAGTCAACGGAACAAGACAGATACTCGGTTCGTGAGGAAATCTGTCCATTTATGCAAAAACATCCTCTAGATGCCGACCACGGGTGTTGCTCGAGAGGAGGGGATGTGACTGTTCTTAACGCCCGAATCGGGTGCTCAAGATGGACATTATGCAATCTTGGCTGCCGTAGTTGGCGAGCAAGTCTGGTGGTTGCAGGTGGTGTTCCCGGCTTCAAAATTAAGTTCCTCTATAGCGGCATCTGTTCTTATGCCTCAGTTTGCCTTATTGTGTAAATATCTATTTGTGGAAGCGCTTATCAGTGGAAACTAACATCAAACAATCGTCTACCATGAACACACCAGATCAACGGTCTATTCGCGCTTCGCTAAAGAAAGAGCTGGGGAGGGCAGTATCCGATATACCATTGTACTGGTTACTATCCGCTTTTCGCTATAGCAGTCCACTGTAACAGTCTTCCTAATAAGAATCCTTGGAATGCAATTAATCACGACGAATAGATAGTTTCAACGAGCTTACGAACGCTATACCTCTTAATGAACAAAACTGCGTCCCCGAGATATTTCGTACGATTATCCCTCAAGATAGTTGCACCTGGACAACTAAGCGAGACGTGTTTCAACTTTACCGTCGAAAATTGCTTCACTGTGATCGTGTATGATATTCGATTTCTTGAAATCAGCATTCTGTCAACCTGTCAATTGCTGCTATTCCAATGATTGCATTATCTTGTGCATTTCCGCTTTTCATAATGATTTTCGTTCAGAAATATTGCTCATATGCGTGAACAGATGGAATCTACTATGCTTTTGGGCTTAGACTGGTCACGTGAGATAAACACCTCCAGTGCTGACTATTATCGGTGGACTCAGTGGCTTTTTCTAAAACTTTATGAGGCTGGTCTGGCCTATCAACGATTCGCTTTTGTCAACTGGGACCCTGTGGACCAAACTGTACTGGCTGATGAGCTTATTGATGCTGAGGGTCGCTCCTGGCGGTCAGGTGCTGTTGTTGAGCGCCGACCTCTACGACAGTGGTATTTTCGTACGACGGTGTACTCTAAGGTAAGAGCACTTGTGGACTATGTTTTTGTGCTCACACTAATGGATATGGAAACTGCTTTTCATCGCATTTTTAGATTCGGTTTTCAAAAACACTGCCTTTGCATATGTACGGCCAATCACCCGCAGATCATTCTAATGGTCCAAAAACTGGTTAGGGATAAGTATCAAACTCGGAAATTTTGGAGCAATGAATACCGGTAGGATTAGCCTCATTTCTCCGGTTTTCGGTTAGCACTGGCGTTCGCTTTCACTTGGCATGGGATAGTTCGCTCTGCACTGGTGGCTGTTCCGAAAATGCTTACCTTTGGTCTAATGCTTCATACTAGTATTGTACCGCAAAATTCACCTCTACCGATACCTAATGGGGATATGACCAATTTTTGTCCAATGTATAGTAAAAAACATGATTTCTGTTCATTGTGTGTTGAGCACAGTAAGTCATCCAGATAAGCTGGACATTTTGGTTTTCGAAGTTCGACTTAATTTCATCCGAAGATATTACTCCCACCGTAAGACAACCAGCGACAGAAAACAAGCTGATTCTCGTATTATGGCATTCACCCCGCTTATCTTGGATGTTCTCCTAAATCAAGGAAGACAAATTAAGCGTTGAAGGAAGACTGTGCTCCATCTTTGGACATTGCAAGTGTGACGCTATCCGTTCCAAGACTCGGTGGTGCTTGAGGGAATATGTAGAACCACAAACTTCCTAGGCTTAAGGAATTTCTGGGTTGATCGTCGAAGGTCGTAATGCAGTTCGAGAAAGCTCGACTGTGCGATTAAGACTTCCTTAGTTATTATAAATAATCGAGCACTGATTGACCAAAATATTTTGTTGACAGTCCTGGTTTTCTTTCCCTCTGCCCTTAGATTTCCGCGTCCGTCACGTCTAATGCTCGGCCAATGCAGCGGCTTTTTCACCTAGCGCTTGGTAATTCGCTAGGTTGCATTGCCTTAGGACGGAGACTGAAACATGGCGAGATTCTTTGGAACTTTCACTATGAATTTAAGGTTGAGGACAGTTATACAACGCTTTCATCACTTTAGGGTTCACCACGAGTTCTTGTCTCATGGTGTCGTCTATGCCTAAATTCAACCACATTTCTGGTCTCCAGCCGTGATCCAAATTTGGTGTATTTACGTGCACAGCACATTTTGGGTTTGGGTGTAAAATATAATAACAAATAATCGTTCGGCTACAATACCCTTTTGGTGCCTAATTGCCACCAGGTAGGAGGAAGTACGAGGGCTATGTTACTGTTCTGATACTGTTGCTCAAGCCTAGACAGGAGCCATCAGGATGCCGGGGTTGGATTCGATTTGCGGACATTCCGACCAGTAAGTTCGTCTCCTAAGCACGAAGCTCTCCCGAGCTTCCAAACCACGTCGATTTGAGTGCGACTTCAGCTCCAGAAGTGATTTTTTTCAGACTGACCTACACTTCTATGAGTGAACGGGTATTACATCAGACGTCATGTGTGCTTTCCTTATCTTCTTAATCCGTATTACGTCGTTTTTCTCACTTCAACCTACTTCTTTGATTTCTACGTATGCATCCAGTCCTTGTTAGATGGTCTGAAAGAAATCGAAGGAAACGAGTGGCGTGATGTCGTCCAGATGCAACGAGGATGGTTGGGAACACTAGATGGAACTCAAATTGAACTGGATGTAAATCCGGTTGTTTCATCGGAAGAGCAACATACCAAGGAAGAATCGTGTGCTTTTGGAGTGACTGGGGAACGTGTTAATGTATTCACAAAGTATCCTGGTCTCGCTGTCGCGGATGTCATCAGTCACATTGGCGTACATCCTGGAAGTGTCTACTTTGAGGAACAATTCCGCATGGTAATTCCAACTGCTCGTTTCGTTTGATGCAGCTACTCTCCTTGTGTGCTATGAAACTTCTCCCTTATTTTCCTCACTACGATTTAGTGTTCTGTTAGATTATATGCAGCCTTCTATCCAAGCCGCAAACACCTGGATTTTCGCGTTTCATGTTGTTGGTTTGTCCATGTACATGGCAACCCTATGTCTTTCCAGCTCTATCGTACCTCAAACTCAACGCGGCACTTGTTAGTCATACACGTTTAGTACTCCTGACGTATCTTTACTTGGGAACAGCCTCTTTTTTGTTCCAGCCGTGTTGTTCTTGATGAGGAGATGTGTTTGGGAATAACTCTCAGGTTTGGACCGATGCGAAGCCGTGCATTCTTACACATCACTTTTCATAGAACCTGGGTGCTAATGAGCTGATAAGGGACAAGGTCACTCGCGCGCTGAGTTGCTAAGACTCCCTGGATTATTGACCTAAATGAGGACGATCGGGTAGGATCAACCGGTCCTGTTCAAAGGATGAACATAGGTGTTATTCTGATCAACACACGTACTCGTTGTTTGTTACGGCTGAAGTATCTTGATGTTGGAAGTAAGAATATTATAAGTCTACGTGATTAACTCTAGTGGTAACTGGCTTTTCAAAACGGCTGCATCTTTAAGTTTACAAAACGGAAAAATGTGGCTCATGAGCGATATGAAGAGAGAACCGGTGCTTCAAAGTAATTTCATCTTACTAATTCCATCAGACATTTTATGTGCATTTCAGTGGCTCTTTCGATATTCTCCGCTTATTCAAATACCTAAGTAAGGCCTTAAAGTCCAACTTTTCCGACTCCATGTGACTTCCAGGTGACTGTTGACCGCGGTCATAACGGCCTGTGTGTATACTATTGGCGCTCAGTCCAATAATAAATTAAACGGTTTCAGTGGGTTAATAAGCAGTACCCGACCCTCTCGCTTGTATGACCTCTCAAACAAGCTCGATGCTCCCCACCCCCAAAGTTGAACAGAACCGGCTAGATTCTGGAGGACCCTTAATTTGAGCCGTACCTTTTCAGATTCTTCCCACATGGGTGGAGTAATTACCGACTTACACGAAGGAGGACACATTTAGGGGACTTTCTACTTATCTTCCAGAAATGAAACTGGATGTTGTCAGCTTATACAGCTAGTAACAGAATGGCAACCCAAGTGTGTACCGTCAATCGTTTTGTTCGGTGAAGATGACTCAACCTACATTTGATTCTCTTTAAATAAGACGAAAAATCCAGAGAATAGAAGAATGCAAAATACGGAGCATCTAGGGTTATTCTGATCGGTTGGTTGTGATTTATACGATGGGCTGCCCTCCGCTTTCCACTTCTGCGGAATTGTCTGGTCCCCTTATAACTTGTTTTACACAACTTAACTTGGCTTTTGTGATTACAGGCTCATAATGGAAAGGACTCCGAAACACTGAAGTTTGCCTTGAGATTTTGTAGAATTGGAAACAGAGGCATTTAATCGATAGTTTCTGCTTGCAAGCTTGTAAAAAGACAACTCTTCAGGGCAGTCTTTTGCCGTGCTACTTGGGACGGCGTCCCAAGGCTGCCTGAACAAGAAAGTTATGCCCAGTAAGGTTTGGTCAAGGTGTTCGACGATTTAAAACATGCACGTGAGAAACGATGTTTCGTCCGGCAGTGTAGTTTGGATGTACCGTGGTACATTTATGTATATCCGTTCCTCATTGTCGGTTCCGTGGGCCGGATGATTCCTGTCGCCAACACCTGAGACGTGGAAGCCTTGATCTAAGATGGAGTGAGTGTCTGTCTTTAGCCCGTTCGGAGTGGAGGAGCGGGTTTTCCAAGTGTGGGTTGGTGTAAGTGAAGGGAAACTTTATAACTTCAGTGATCAAGCTGCTGTTTTCTTGTTCTATATCTCGAGACCTAGCCGTTTCGCACTCCTCTGGAAGGAACACCCTCTTTGGGCGCACTCTCTTGGGAAACAGTACTACATGTGCTCACTAACGTCCATGACCTAGGAAAACTGATAACGCTTTTCATGTGCTAAACGGTCCCACTAAGGGAGACGTTTTTGTTAGGGTTAGTACTAGGTCAGCCCATCTGGTCTTCCACACCACCGCAGCTAATGCATGACAACAAACCACTTTTGGAAAGATGATCCACGTCTAATTGGGTGGTAACGAAACTGGCCTTATCTGAGCTTTATGCGCAGGCGGTCACGGCATACGTGCATTTTTGGGATTGCCTATGGGCACGCAACCAAGATTGTTAGGTCGCTGGATCACAATTGCTTCAGCCATTTGGAGTACCGTAGCCCACCTGGTTTCCAATGTTTTTTTGATAGTTCACCAATATATAACTCCACTTGATAGCCGTCAAACTACTCAACACCGTCCAATTGTCCCCGACTTACCCTCTCACTACCGAAGCCACTGCCCCTCTAATCCCATTCAACCACACTTTGTTCAGCTTTGATCACACCGGAGTCTTCAGCAGAATAGTCTTAAGAAAGCATGTAACAATGATGACATACCAAACTGTTTGGGTGTGTGTATTTGCCATAGGAGTCAATATGGGCTATCTCATTGCCGCGATTGTTTCCTGGTTTCTTCCATTTCCTCGGAACCGGAAATGCCTTTGCCACGATAGATTCCGCTGGATGGGAGGTTTCCGAATTTAGCGGAAATGGTGTACTCATTTTGGGTCTGTTTTTTTTGAATCATCTTATTACGCGTAATCATTTACGTAGAACCTGCGATCTCTGTCATGATAAATGTCTCAATATTTTGAGTGTTTGTTTATCAGTACGGGAAAGTTGATTACAAATTGATGAAGTAAGAGTTGATAGGGTACCTGTCTCTGGCAAGATTTTTACCGTACGACAATACATGGAATTAACTATCTCTCCACTTTTGATATAGCCAGAAACGCAACGGGGATTAAACACAAGTAGGAAGCTGATTTTATGCTCTCATCATTTGACTGGCAATGACGGTTCCTTTAAACTCAGTCTTTCATCCACAACCGCGGCTAGCCCCTGGCCAGAACGGTTGGCAGTTGCAGTTCGGCATCCATTCACCGGTCGGCAGATCCCGATGATTAGACTACCGAATTCCACTCAATGCGAGACAATGGCGTTCCCAAACCAGCTGTGTAAGTGTCGTTTATGAGAAATGTGTATCCATTACATTCCTCCTTATTTTCAGTATCTCGTTATCTTTTCGTTGACATTGGATTCTACAAGGTACTAGATATTAAACAGAGCTTTGGTCTCCAGCTATCGGCCAGAGCACTCCGGCACTCGCGACGTTCATTACTGGCGCCTTATTTCCAATGAACTAGTCGAGTTCACAGGTCACATGGCAACCGAATGGGCACCCATTTGAGCGACGGGTTTCAATTTGAAGCAGTCTTAACGGTTCAACCGTATGGCATCCCGGAGATTAGAACTTTGTCCAACTATTCCACATTCTTTTTCAATCAGTCATGAACTCATATTATGTCCAGAGAGCCATATTGGATGGCCTTATCCGAGGTACTCGAAGTATTTGGAGGTGTGGCCTCTCATAGCAAGGATTTCACAAACTACTTGATGGCACTTCCTCTCACAAGCCACTGATGTCACTTTTACTGGTGTTGAAACATTTGCAATCAAATGGCTCATGTCAGCGAACAAACCGACGGTCGTCATTACAGCAGGAGCTGGCAATATTCTCTTCAATTATACACTACCTGTCACCCTCATATCAGCCTTACGGCAGGTGATCACAATAGGAAGTATCTTTTATTCGACACTTGTACCTTAAAACAAGATATATAAGGAACAAATTCGTAAGGCGTATTCATGGATCAGGTCGTCACCATAATAGATGTCGAACGAGTCTAAGTAGGGTCGCTATGCGGACACCATGCGACCGCGATGGTAGTTTTTTGCCCAGTTAGTCAAGCTAGCTTAAGCTATGGTTAGTTTTGTCTATCCCATTGAAACTAGGTTGCATCTCATGGAACGACTGGTGGACACGATAGTTAAACGCACCTTGTGAAAGGGTATTAGGATTCAGCTTCCACGGGGAAAGCATAACTTACCTACTGCACCGTGCTTCATGCCCAAATGTTTTGATGTCGGAAAGAGGCCCGGAGCCTGGAGTCGTGTGGGTAGACCGCATTATTTCTTAACCTTCGGAATTAGGGAGAACAAATGGTACTTTATAAAACCGTTGCCTTCTGATCATCTGGCTTGCATTATCATGAACATTCTGTCCACAGGCCTTGCAAACGTGAGATGCAGCCTCGAGTGTTGGGTTTCTCAACTGATTGAAATACTTTACACTACTGCAGTCTATCAGTAGCTTATATTTCGCGAGATGCTCCGTCGCTAAAGTGCCGAATGCGATTCATTCTTTGAAGTACCAGGCCGTTACAAGTGTCGTCAAAAACCATGCCTGCAAATCATCGTGCGCGTGATGTTCGTTGTTCTTCATAGGGTTTTGGGCTTCGCTTGCGTTTACATCCACTGTGGTGATTGTTTTTCACTTTTACAGCTTTCAACCTCAAACCTCACGGAAAATCTCTGTGTCTGACTGATCTGCTCGATCTACCCCCGTCTGATACCAAGCTGACATTGTTGAACTCAGAGGATAATCTCCAGCCCGTTGATCCGGCCAGTGTTCCACTGGATGAAGTTGATCGGTATGCGTTTGTCACATCTGTGACCGAGGTACGTCGATATTGTTGGTGTATTTGATGAATCGTGTATGCGCAACACAAGGGTCTACCATCTGCTTCTTCATCTTCAGCTTGTCACTTGCCTGCGATCCACCCCAGTCTGGGCAGTATGATTCGTTTGGTCCGATTCGCAAATTTGACTCATATTGTGAACCACGTTAGCAATAGCTCACATTGACTGCCACATACAGCTCTGCCACTAATAACTTGGAAATTTGCAGAAAATTTCATACACCGATTGTTTTGCGAATTGCTCACCGGCCTGGGCGCACCAATCCCATAGTTATTCACATCCCGGTTGATCCCTGTGTTTCCAACCTGTATCTTTCTCTACATGAACGTTAGCAACCAATCTCTTAGTTTGATTCTACGTCACTACAGTCCAAAAAGATTAAATATGGTCGGTCTCTGACCAGGTAGTGGTGTGTGTGGGCGTCGACTGGGAAACCCGGTCGTTTTGACAACTTAACTGTCTTCATCTGGAAACCAGGTAGATTCGGTACAGTGGATCTAGCTCCCACGGTTTCCCTCATCAGTGATTCGGCGAATAGGAATCAATAGGAATCAAGTAGGAATGAATAGCTAGGCATTAGAAGCAGTCGCTGATATCATGAACAGAAGTGGGTGCTCGGGATAAGACACTGATAGATGGTGAAATTGGTGGGCATGGAAGAATCTCACAGTCTGGTGTCCCAATCAAGGCAATTGCCTTGTTTGTGTAGGTTTCGGCTTGCTCTTTATCGCAGCATCATGACATTGCGGCGTCACCTGAGTGGCTTGATCATCATCTACAAGAGGGCGATGACACGTACTCGCTATTTCCATAATCAGACCGAACGTACTCATTGTGCATTATTTCTTAGTAAGTAACAGAACGGAATTGAACTAAACTGTAGACAAGCTCTACTTCCTTACTTTGTCTCGCTTCCATTAGACGTTGTCTTGACTTTGATTATCGTGTAAGTGTACCATCAAACCTCTTCACGTGAGGGGTATTGATGATGATGAAGTCACTTCTAGCATTGCATGGTGTCATACTTGTTAGCACTTTCGGTTATCTTCGTTCATGCCGTTACAGTCTGTTCCTACGTTTAGCAGGAATTATGTTGGATATATTGAAAGTGGAAGTGTCAAGTTGCTTGAGCATGACATCTTAAGTATTTCAGTCGGTAAGTGAGAGGTCTGCCGTCCCGGGGCATGTATTTTGGTTTATGCTGCAGGTACTTGGACTTCTCATTCTATAGTCTTTTAAATACCTCCAGGCTTCCCATAGAATTCAAGGATTCCATGCGTCGCTACCATTATCTTTACTCTTGGTTGCTTGTCCATTCAGCTATGTTTCTACAGGAATTTTACAATAACGGATAGTTCAAAGCTCATTCTGATCCACTGGTTCCCGATAGTCATGTTTACTTAATCTTTTCTGTTCAGTGGAGCCTCGTAAGCGGTATGGGGTACCAACAGATGTCTGATTCTCAACTTCTTTTTCCCTTAGTTGAACGGAGTAGCGGTTTCGCACTCAGCGGAGAAAGCCATGGATGCATTACGGGTGAGTACTGTCGGAGGCAATTTTCCGCGCTTTTAGTGTAGTTCCGCCACTTCTTTCTATAACTCTGAGGTTTACACGTGCTTTCATAGTTTTAATGTGCAAGATTCCGGGTTATCAAAAGTAACATGTTCCTAATTTTTTGTTCTGAATTAATCGAAACAAATTCCTGTGATTGTTAAAATATTCGTTGTCACGATTCTGATGTTAGTCCGGAAAGTCTCCTTCATTTTTCGTATAAAAACACCGGTGCGCGCAACCTGTAGATGGCAGCATGCAGTACACTAGTAGATTAGCAATCTCCTTCACTGTGCGTACTGAATCGTGCGACAGCGGCTTGGAAGGCCTAGGGAGGACTCAGAAACCCCCGTTCACTATCGGTTAGATAGTGAAGAAGCACGATCGACGGGTCCGTAAATATCACAAAACAAGATTGATGCGGCTGAACTTGGTGACAGCAAAAACGGGGGAAGCTCTTGCTACGACGGCGGGCACCCAAAGTGAATTGGTTTTATCTGGCACCGGGAAATGAGTTAGAGCTGGTCGAAAAATGCATTCCAATATTCCGAAACTCAATCGAAGAGGTTCTGTCGCTCCTGCAAATCACTTCACTAAGATTGTTAAACCTTCGGGTCGCCAAATCTTCGAATTCGATGCTCTCCCATTATTTTACGCGCGTTATACTGCTGCACTTTCAAGCGATTCTGTTGCCTTTGAAATTCTCATCCTGCTGCTCGCCGTCTTTGCTTCCAGTGCGCTAACTTCATGTTCGAGGATATATGGTAATCTTATTAAACCCGCATGCGGTCGCACCGAATATGGGTACTATCCCTAAAGGTCGGCTGAATTCTGGATGAGCCAGTTTAGCCTTGAAAACAGACGCTGAGGTTCTTCCATTTCCTGTGTTTGTCGCGGTGGGTCGCAACCGAAACCGTCTTAACATGGTTTGGGACACTCACGGACGCACCGGTCGAGTCACTTGTCTTACCGTCTGTCCAACCAACTGAGTGTGTGAGGCCGTCAAGCCCCTGGATTTGCCAAGGTTGTACGAAGCTGCCTTGTGATCCAAAGGACACTGTCGCTCGACCGAGTTTCAGCATGCCTTGCCACTATATGCTTGTTACAGTTGGCTGACCTCATTTGTGGCTCCGCGGGCGTGCACTCAAAAATAAGTTTCAAGTATTGGAGGCGTTTTCCACCTACTGCGCTCCAGAGCCTTGCACAGTAGGCAATTTAGACTGCGTGCATGGGTGATTCTTCTTATAGAGGAGGGAACCTTCCAGACCAAAGGTATTGATGTTCGTGGCCACCTGTAGTCACGGAAGACTGCTGCTTGGAGGGGTGATATCCATTTTCGGATTTTTTGCTAGTCTTTCACGATTATATTGACGTCAATAAACCTTGTTTTTGTTCTCAACTCAGTTTTCCGTGTTTTCTTGCGAGTGAAATATTTCAGAATTTCTCCTCGAAACGCATCCAGCTGTACGCTGGTGTCAGAGGTTCATTTTGTGTGAACTGTGTTGTCGTTTCTTGACAATGAACAAAAACATCGAATTCACGATTGCATCAGTGAAACCAATCTGTAATTCGCCGTCCACGAAACCATCTTTGTTTTGGATGGATATCTTTGGGCTATCTGTTCCCTTTTGTTTGACAACTTCACATTGCATTCGTTCCTAATTCTCCATAATATCCCGATTTTATTCTTCCCAACGCGCTATTTGGAGAACTAGGAGATTAGATGAACCCTTAGCAGTTTTACTTGTACACTCCTTAGTATAGCTCATTGGGCTCTTGTGTTTCGAAGCACTGATCCAAATATGATGCTTTGAGTTTAACGCTGTTAGGAGTCCGAATCAACAGTTGGCCAAATGAAATATCCTATCAATCCTAAACGATTAAGTAGTTATAGTTTCAGGAACGTTTAGTAAACACTAAATAGATATGTCCTTGTGCTACGTTTAGCATTTGTAACGGAAGCTTCGTTACTCAAGTTTGATCAAGTTATTTTGTTTTGTTCGAGTTTTAAGCCCGTTGGGGCATCAAATTGCAGTCTAAGTCAGTGTTGAATGTCAGCTAACGGTTCCTGTTAGTTAGTATGAGTAACTGCTGCTTTCGGAGAGGGTTCAAAGTCATTTCACATCTAATTTGAAGTTCGGTTTGTAGTTCTTCAGTTGATGTTTCCCTTTGTGTGTCGTCCGCAAACTTTTGTTGACATGCACGAGTAGAAGAGTTTACATGGATTTAAGTCTGGTTTGTCCTTGTACTGAACCAGTTTGTGTTCCCGAAGGACACGTGGTTCTACCTGTACTAGAATCAAGAACAAGACCTTATTGTCCCTAGCTCACCGTTTTATTATCCTCAACTCCCATTTATGAGGTATGTCCGATGCTTTTTAGTACTGCGCCTGAAGGGATCAGGATGGCACATCGACCTTTCTCAGCCGCTAATTCTTATAATGTATTCAAAACCAGCTGATTGCTCTACATGTTTTTGAGAGCAGATAGCCGAGTTAAAAACAAACTGATAAGCACATTCCGTTGTTTCATTCGGTTGGCGTATGAGAACGGTTTGCAGCTTCCACCGTCAGTTCAGGACTCATTTCAGGATGATTACAACCTAGCCAGTATCTCCACACTCTGAATCCGCCACCCCCCTTCCAAACGACGACTGCATATCACTTGCAAAAAGTTCGGGAACTTCTAAGGATTTTTTAACTGAGGTGTTTTCCGTGTACCGCCTTGGCTCTCAGTTCTGTCGTCACCGCACACTTGGTGAAGTCATTCCAGTTCACAACCACAGAAATCTGTGGTTGTGCACTGACCATCAAGTTGTTCGGTATACTAACATTTTGGTTGCAGCCTATATCACTGGTGGCAGCACAACGGCTTCTGTCTGCACGAACGTGTCGGTGAAGTATCGGTCTTAGAGTTTGGTGTTTGTAAACGTTTATCATTTGTCTTCCTGTAAAAGCTTCTGAGGCATATGTGTTTTTGATTACCAGTTAGGGTGCAGGAAAGTGTGGGTATTGTGGTCGCAAACCCATAGCTTGAATATCGCCGAGGCTTATCCTTATTTTTTTCAGTTTTGTTCTCCGATGTTGGCGAATCAAGACTATATTGCACATTGTCCACTTTCCATCGTCATGTAAATTTCGTGGAATCGCTTGTACACGAGTCTTTTTTTCATTATCCCAGAGGTCTGGCAGAGGAGGCTATTGGTCCAGTGAGTTGCGTACCGACTGGCTAGTATCACGGCAACGCTACTGGGGAACTCCAATCCCTATTGTGCATTGCAGAAACTGTGGAGTAAGTTTTATCATTGCTGTCGGACCCTTCGACAACTAGTGGCAGGCAAGACTCATCCTATAATACAAGTGATGTATAGGGTAGAAATGTTAGCTATTGCCGCCAGCCTCATCCGTTTTGCTTGGATAACGGGAGGTTGTTTTTAGACTACCATCGGTCGTTGCATGTTAACTTATTCCGGTATTACTGACAGCTTTCTTGAGATTCAAATACCTCCTCGATGAAGTTCTAAAGATCCCTGACAGAAGCACACGTCCCCAAATGTGTGCTCGACTCGGCTATATAAAACAGTGTTACAGGCACCTGAAAGTTTCATCCGATGCAACACTTGGGTAATAATCAACAGCGTTTGGTGTCCCATATCCTATTACTGTCCTAATCGGATTAAGCCGCAGATGGAACCGGGCAGCCCATGACACTATTCGAGAGGTGATGTGAGTCGTTGTCGTTGGAACGTCTAAACCTGACGAAGTTTCTGCTCTTCACGCACGAGCACAGTATTGTTTGAAAAATGACCTTTTCCGGATTGAAGGATTGAGCAATGTGATCTGCTAATGAGAATTTTGGTAGCTCAGGTTGCAATCAGGATCATCTCAGGGCTCACGGACATTATCTCCTTTGGTGGTGAAATATGTGTGACCGAAACGCCCAGCACAACGAGCAGAGCATCATTCAGGTAATTTTAGTGATGCGAAGATCAAGCTGTATGGAACTACTGCTGGCTGTACCTGAGGGAGAATCTGGTATAGGTAAGTCAACGGCCATGCAACACAATCTGTGGAAGCGTATCGAGTGGCTTCTGCCTGATACGATAAAATAGTCGAGTGTTTATCAGAAGCAAGATGCGTAGCTCATCTCGAGAATTTATCTGTCATTGCTTTCCTTTTCTGACAATAACTTTCTCCCGACATCACAAAACCCTGGTGTTCGCTATCTCACATAATCACCATCACAGACTGACCTGCGTCAGGTTCCAAAATTAACCCGATGATGTACCCCTGAAGTAGTACGTACAATTCAATTGCAGAACTAACCGCCTTGTTCGAGTTCTAATTAGGTCAGCCGCATCCTTGTTCTGCATTGGCTCTTCATTCGACGGTGCTGAGGTTCTCGTCCTATGGTTATACATGTGTTCGAACATTTTTCGATTAATTCTATGTATACTTACGGGTTCTACCGATAGAAGTTTTATTTTTTGATCTCTGATCTCAAAAGTTGACTGTCGGCGTGGCAAATTTAGTTTTACCATCCCACTTATCAAACGGGATATCAAACCGTGAATTGTCATGCAATATAGTCATGCGGTGTGTTTCAAAATAGTCATAATCAATTTCGTGAGTTTTATGTGCTTCATATCTGGTTTTCAGCTTCTATGGTCTGTTTGTAATTAAGACATTTCAGAGCTTTCACTCAATGATTTGTTTGCATCCATCAAATACTACGGTCATTGAAACCAAAGTGATTTGTCATGTGTAAATTTGGAAATGGTTGCTCGAAGTGCAATTAGTTATAAGAGACTTTCGCACACGAGACCACTCTACAAGGCTTTGAAAGAGCGAGTTTGTTACACGCATCTTGCGTACTGAACTTTTTGGTTCACTAAGAACCGCAATCATATTTTGGAAATCCACGTCACACCTAGTCTTTTTTTATCGACTTTCGATGTCAGCCAGTTCCTGTACCGGAAGACCAACTTCCTGTGCGTTTGCCTCCACTGCATCGACCACTGAAACGCGGTGATGCTCCGTTAAAGGACAACGTGGAGTGGCGCAACACCGTGTGTCCAAAGTACGTCGTTAATACAGCATTGTGAGCTTTGTTTACCATTGAGCATCAGAATATTTCCGTGTGGTTTTTCCCCTTGCCATGGTTGCAGCCCAACAAGCGATTCCCTCAGCATTTATAGTCACATCATTCACAGTTTTCGAGGACTTACTTTTTTCCCTTCAAACTTTGCACGGCGGATATACGCGCCCGGTTGCACCTATGCAGTTGAAGTTCTGTAACGAATCCCTGTTTGAATTCCCAGTCGCTGTTGTATTTTGAAAGAATCATGGTTTTGTCAATAGGGACATTCTGTCGACTCTATGTGATCATTGGTCTAGAATGTTGGGATATCAAACTATAAATTAGCCGTGGCGTGCGAACTTCCTCGCTACTAGTCTACTGACCACTACACACATTCCTTCGAAAATCCGAGTTGAAACCTACAGCAGTTTACCTGGCCCCTGTTATTAAATCCACTCGACATATTCCGTTATAACTTATGCCTGATAGGTCAACTTTTGCCGTAATTAGGGGTATCTGTATAGTCTGAATGACTCATTATTTTCCTCGATTGTTGTTTCTCATGCTAAGTCGAATTGTTATCAGGTTGCGTTGATAGAATGACTTTTCTCTTGGTGATCAAGCTTTGAAGGTGTTCCGTCGTGTGCACACGAGGAAGTACCAGTGCATTGTGACTGGTTACATGCTTTGGAACAAACCATTCCCGATACAGTTATTCCGCTCAGTCAATCAATCACTAACACTACCTGATTCAACTCCCGTTTTCTGTTTCGATAAGTTCCAAGCTCGATTTCCGTATTTGTTTTAGACTGTTTGCAATGTTTGACATTTCTTTCTCGCGGTACCAGGTTAGTACCACCAATTTCGTTGACATTTTACATTTAGGTTCCAGACCAAAACCGACTTAATTAAATTTTATTGTTTCCGGTGGACGTTATACTTACTCAGGTCCGTTTTCACTTGACCGCGTGGGTGTCGGCAGTTTCTTTAGTTTACAGCTAAGATCACCATTCTAGCTGCTCTGTGGTTTATAACTGCCTAACTGAACCCCAGGTTACTGTGGATCGTACTGATTTCAAGATCGGGAGTATAAATCACAGACTACTTATCTCACAGTGAGTGAACCACAGGCCGATGGATACTGTTTTTGACGCCTCACATGGGTTGATTCCTCCCCCAACAGTACCCAATCTTGCGAATTTCTTATACGGTTATATCAGCTGAACGGCTACGATCAGTCGGCGGTAATTTCTTTCCCGTATCGTATTCGTAGGCGATTCTATGCTATCCGAGATACGTCGAGCGAAGAATAAAACGCGAAAATTGACCATCCGTTTTTTCTCTGTACGTTTGAGGATGAGTCATTGTACTGTAACTCTCACTGTGATGTTACAGATGAACCTACCAGGTTATCGGTTTTAGTAATGAGAAGTCAACTCTCGGAGGCAACTGCCGAATGACGAACAAATATTCAAAGCTAACTACAAAACACCGGTCGTCTGTCTAACGCTACCCTTAGGGCATTCGATGATTTGTGATAGTCTGAATTCTGTCAACCTCATTATGCTGTCGTTGGGTTGTTACCAGGCCGAAAATCAGTTTATCCTTCCCGGATAATTGCATTACCTTTGGTTACGTTCCTGATGACTGTGGTTTCAGTGCCCCCTATTTTCCACGCGAAACAGAGCATAGAGCCTCGATAGTGATCAATTCTCCATTGAAAGTAGCAATGTTGTTGTAATATACACGTAGATGTGGTGAACCGGGAGATCGTGAGACTGACACGCTGGACACGTTTGTGGATTCATCGTGGTACTATCTACGTTATCTGGATCCGCAAAACCACAGGGAGGTGTGCGAACGGAGAAAGGCCCATGGTGGTTTGCCGGTAGACATCTATGTGGGAGGTATCGAACACGGTAAGTAGATGTTTCATTTTCGCTTTTCACCCAGTGTTTCATTTAGCAACCTTTGGCATTTGTTCACCACGAACGTAATCACCCCCAGCTCTTAAACGAATTACAGTGCACAAAATGCTCATACAATGCTCTGCCATTTCATCTCTTTTCATCAATAAAAACATTTGAAATTTTGAATGAAAATGGCTTGATCTGTTGAGCTATGATGCGCTCAAATTGTGCATAAATTACAATTTACTGCGTGCCACTACCTTCACCTAACTAACCTTCATGCGCCGACATCCTTTTTAATGCGGCCTATGCTGGTGCATACCAATTTCAATAGCTGGACTTTTGGTCTTTTTCTCTAACACGGCAAGTTTTTTCTTTTTTTGGAAGCCTTAGTACATAATGTGGATGTGCTCCTAACGATAACTATCAAATAGTTAAAAACAGAAACTGCATCGATGGGTCGTTTGGTTCGTCACTGCCAAGTATTGTAATTGGGGAAATACGTTCATTCACGAGTTATTTTGGTGCTAACGGGATATGCAGCTTAGTGTCTCGTTTACGGTATTCTTCGACTGAATGTGGTACACAAAGACCGTCTCGTGTTTCGGGGCGATGTTATCAGTGTGCTTTATGTTAAGAAAATATACTGCGATGTTTGAGATATCTTTCATAATCCATAGCTGAAAGTTAGCTCTTTGGTAAGAGTTTTGCCACACCTCCATGGTTCATCTGTTCATTCATCCACGGCATCAGATATCCTGTTTCGGCTGCACACAGACCTTGTCATTATGCCTGTCGTTTTACGTCAGTATCTGTATTAAAAACGGCCTGGCGATCGGCTGAACATGAAAAATTATCTCGTTGATCGGGCAATACGGATCGAAGTTAGTATTGTTGACTTCCCATATATTATCCCCACAGGATAGCAGAAAAATTGATCGATGAGTGTCCTGATGTAGGAATAGAGCGTGATTTTTCCGTGTGATGCTACGACATGGTGATATCTCACCTCAAAGCCATAAAACTCCTCTGCTGTGATTCGGACTGCTGCGAATACTTTATTATTCCAATCCGTACCAGTAGCAAACTGTGTCATCTGGATCGCGTCCTCCATACCCTTTATCATCACTTGACTTCAATTTCCCCCGTTCATGATTGTAAATAATAGGTGACTTCACTCTGTTCCATGCGCGTCCCAGTCGGCCGAGATGGCTTTCTGAACCACAGGTAACCTTGGGACAATTTTTACACCTTTCTGACTCAGATTCAAATAGAGAAGCGTGCTTGGCATTAGTGGTGTTTATTATCTACTTATTTACGGCTATCGTCGCATCGCCGCAGATAGTGTGTGACGTCCGCCTGGATTCTCCTGGTATTTAAGATGGAAAGATTGGCCGAAAGTGGCTCATTAAGACTTAAATGAAGTCAGTTTTGCTACAGCATCCAGATTATTCACTCTGCATATGTGCGTGCACATATAATTTTTTTTACCCACCACCACTAAGGAGAATTCATGAGTTCGAGACAGTTCAGCGATCAGGGCGTGAAACTGTTGATCGGAACGTTCGAACCGTATCCGGGCTATTCATTTGCTCTTGTCACGGCTCTGGGAATTCTGACAATGCCTCAGCTGTCGTGCTTCTCTCAAGTTGCTGTTTACCGAAAAATTGCCACAGCTGAATAGTTGTTGTTTTGGAGTATCGTCATTGATTAGACTCAAACGGACTATTTCTCTTTTCATATTGTGGATGTAATTTCTCAGTTAATGCCAGTTACCATCGGAAATGCTTAAATTGTGAACTTGCAGAACTACTCGTGGAATTTGTGATCATCACATGTCGATTTATAAATCAGATAAACAAAGCAGCCTTAGTTGCATTTTGCGCTTCCTCGTGTTCTGGAACGTGGTTAGTGGTTAGTGTGATGGTCTGTTGTCTACTGGAGATAGAAGCTCAGGTCTATTTTGATAGTTGATACATTCAAATCGAAATGTGCAATCTTAATTCAGTGGTGTGCTAAAACCCAACTAATTCACGAGGTGATTGAATACATCACTGGAATGGGATATCACATAAATCGTCGTGTTAGTTCACGTCGTTATTGGTTGGCTGTTGCTCTGTTGGTCGAGCATGGCAATTGACCAATAGACCCTTCCGAGCTGCCAACAATTCGACACATTATCAGTGGTTCGCGGACACTGCATAGTTCTGTTATGCTCAGTGTGTAGTCTGAGCCTGCATTGCGTGTGGAAAACTGCGACAGGTTTGTTAACCTTACGTCAACTTTAGTATGAAAACCTTCCCGAATCACGGTTGGCATTTTCGTTGAGGTTCGCAACCAAGAATATTATAACGGCTTCTTAACGCATCACTTCTGAAAATACATTCATTGACATACCGGTACGTATGGAAAAAATTATAAGCTAAACACATTGCATCGGTGAAGATCCTCAGCCCGAAGATGCCATGCTCCACACAAGTTTGCAAGTTCCACCCGGATGGTCAATTTCTGTGCTCAAAACTCCTTTCTGAGCTTGATTTTCAAGTATCTGCGCAGAACATTGTGAAACTACACGAAGGCTATTCTTCGATTCGTAACTTTGATAGGGAAGCTCCAATGGTAATGCGTAGATTGCTGACTGGAGTTATGGTGATGACCACTGAATCGAATCGCGGATCTCAAGTATTTAAGGGATATTAGTTGATTACCTCTACCACTGAGGAGTACTGGTCTGGTTTGTTTGTCTTGAATGCTTGAATGCTGCATGATGCTGAATGATGCATATTAGCCCACACGGCGGAGAGTTGAATGCAGTTGTGTTTGAGCACTGCTCAGAATGGCAGTCATCAGAATATCCCATGTCAGTGAGTCATTTGATTAGGCTGAGTTATACATCTGGATTGTTGTGTAGTGCGTGCTTGGGAATGTTGTACAACTTCCACCATCCTATTCCTGGCCTTTGTTCGTGTGTCGTATATGTGATATACTGGAATATTGGAATTTATTTGTTGTCGGTTTTGTTCTGCTCACTTGCTTTATTGCTGGTACACTCATTTTTTTCTGTTTCCAAACTTATCAGCGATCCGCCATCTGTACTATGCCCGGTTTATGGCCCATTTTCTCTACGATTTGGGTATCACTCCCTGTCGCGAACCATTCTCACGCTTTCTCCCTATCGGTTTGATATTGGGGCAAACATTTGTGGAACCGAATACTGGTCGTTATGTTGCTCCCACTGAGGTGCGAAAGTGTCAAGATAGTGCAGGTAATGAAGATGTTTTTCCTTTCTGGGTTTGACTGTTTCCGTAAGAAAAATCGTGTATTCTTGACGTTTCGATGTACGTGCACATTTTAGCTGACGGAACATTCTAACAACAGATTATCGTGCTGATGGTTTCATAGATAGCTCCCTCGAAGTCCTAATTTTGGGCAAGGCTTTATCAGTTTTCTTACTCATCAACTCTGAGTTCGACTAGATGCACGAACTGTTTAGGTCGGTCAGTTAATTTGTTCATGTGTGAATTTTGGGAGCAAGCAGATACATGGAAACTAGGTGATATTTGAGAGCTTGTGGGAGATTAAACCCTTTATATCGTATGTTCAAGAGCTCCTGACCGGATGATCTTGATCTGAACTTTTGCAAACCATATTCCTCTTTCTGATGGCGTTGCGGCTAGGCACCTAACGAGTGTCGCAGCTGACCACGTCGAATATCTCTCTCCCAGCGCATTTGTCCCATTTTGAAATCTCATCCGGATCCATACGGTCTATGTTAAATCTTCTATTCAAGACTCTTCGTGATACTCACGCTTCGACACACACACACACGCACACAATTCGACAGATCCTTTCAGCTTATACTGTGATGCTTTGTCCAGTAAGCTCCTCTACGGTGTCATCTCAGTCTCATCTTGTTTGACGCAGATTATGTATTCTTAGTGCATCGGTACCCTAGGATTGGTAGTAATGGTTTCTGTCGACGTGAATTTCAGGTTTTCTGTGTTCTAGTTTCCATCCTGCTAATATAAATAAAGCCCGAGCCAGTGAACCAACACGCGCCGACGTTTAACAAGTCCCCGTTGGAAGATCTTTGTAAGACTAGTGGGATTTCTCTGATTAGGGCATGAAGTGTGAACTATAAAATAACTGTCTATGAAGAATGACAGCTTCATTTGATTACTCACGCGTTTGGCGTATTGCACTGTTTGGTCCGTTGTGCAGTCCAAGCGATGCAAACATAAACTGACTGGCACATCTTCCGTACGATTTCGAAAATATAGAGCGCATTTGTTCGTACTACGGTGAGCACAATGTGGGAAGACGACTCGTCTAATACTGCGAAAACCCGTATTCGGTCACACAGTCGCATTGGAGAGGCAGCCCTTACAGAGGATCGTTAGCCAGGTTAAGTGCTGTTCTCTTGATCCCATGTTTTTGCGTCATTTCCAGTATCTGGATACTTTCAGTCTGGTTGGGTATTCCGTAACTGACGAAGACAAAAGCTGGACACACTTCTAGAATTTAAAAAAATTAAACAGGGGTTAGGGTTAAACATTTTAGATTGCTTCGCGAAACACTGCGGTGGAAATATGAATACACATACATGGGTGCCCATATAGTGACTAGGAAAACCCTAACCACTTTCTCCGGAAAATTCGATACCAACCCTCTTAGGAATCCCCAGGTTTGAGAGATTTAGTGCATAGATTAAGTTAGATCTTCACGTCACACTAAATTCAGCGTTAAAGTCAAACAAACTCAGAACAATGGCTTACAGCATTTTCCGGTTGCGTTCATGTTTATTACATGCATCTTTTTAGACTTCACTACATGGTTTCCCAACACCTGAGATCCATTTGTCAGGAATACCTACATGGATTTTCCCACCAAGCTGTGTGGTCCTAACCAGTGTCACGGTCAAAGGGATCAATAGATGAACAAATCCGTGTGTACAATCGTCAAACCTAGTTACTGGTCTCTTGCAATCGGGTCACTCGATAATTTCCTGAAATTTCATCCTCTTTTTTCTTGTTTTTATCTCCCAGCTGCCACCCCACACTTCGTGCGCCTCTGAGTAGATAGTGGTTTGAAAAATGGACACACGGAGTGCTCAGACTTTGGGATATACGACCACGCCTCTCACTTCACCGCTCCACTTCTCATGATGTCAGGATGTGCTTCAGTGGCCATCCAGTAACCTGTTGGTCAGACTTTCCAATGTCTATAAGATTAATTGCCACTTCAGTTTTCTACTCGACTGCTGAAATCCCAATCTGTCGACTGATTCAAACATTTCCATAACCGAACAAAACTAGCCGGATGTATACAAATTTCGTCAATCTCCCCCCCTTCAGTAGATTTTTTAATGTCCGATTTATGTGTCTGACTTGTACACGTGACTACACGTTGCGTACTTTGTGTGCTGTGCGTTTGTATTGCTGATGCCTCTCTGACTGACGGAGGAAACCAGTTGGGATGTGCGTGATGTATCCCCCAAGAGTGAACTTACTATACTTGATGTCTTTGTGGAAGTGGTGCAGAATCTGAAGGGTCTCACCTATAGCTACTTAATTGATTAATTAATTTAATTTGATTTCGTCTGAAATCTCATGCTGTCATTTGTGAAAATATCCTTGTCGTAACTAAGTGCCCCAGGTGGCTAGGAAGTCCTGGTCCCCGCCTTAGGTTTCTCCTTTCAAGGAGGGGAATACAGCGGATATTAGCTAAGTGAAAGTCACTTGCCAACACTGTTGTGGACTTTAATCACCGTTTGACACAATGCCACCTTCGTACATGCTGCAAAAGTTTTCAAAATTGTATTTGTACTCCTCCGCATGCTGTTTTCTGTTGGTTAGATCAGAACCGTTTTCCAAGTTTATTATGTTTGTAAAGCCTGAGCATTCATCTCACTGCAAACAAGGGAGAACCGCTTGGTTGGAGAAACGCACCGGAAGTCCGTTGAAAATAACCTGGGATAAGATGAGCAAGTCAAAACTTAATGGTGTCGATCCGGCCGAAGTGGTTGAGCGTCATGGGACCGAGTTGGTTCGACTAACTATGTTGGCAAACGTGGGTCCTCACCGAGAAAGGAAGTGGCAAGAGGATGGTGGTGAGTCTTTATTTCTTCGTGCATATCCTACTTGGTTCTTGTTCACTTATGATGATTTGCAGACTTTCGCACTGTTCTCAGCATTCATTTTACTTAATGTACTAGAGTGAGAGAGTAGAGTGCTAGAGTACCAGAGAGTATTAGAGTTTTGCGGCATCCATGTGCTGTTCGTTGTACCTATGGTGTGCGCATTCTTCCCTACAATACTCGTCCAATGAGCTAGTTGTCGAATCACCTGTGAAATCTCGGCATGACTTTGTTTTCTTCTGTAAACAACTTTCGCTGACTACCGAATGGTTAATAGCAATGATAAAACTTTCATTTTCCCCCGTCCCTTGTACTACCGCTCTAGCAATCACAATTTTTAACATCTAACTGAGCTCCTTTTTGCCAGTTTGATGGTACTCACTAGAGGTGGACTTTCTTATTGCTCTGCTTACCGCTTTGGTGTTGAATAAATCAATTATTTCGAGTAAGTTTGCAAAACAATCGGTAGATTTATTGCTTGGCGAGATTTAGCTTTTCACATTAGGGCTTTGTCACACCAGTTGACTGGGTTACAAGGTTGGTCGATTTTGAATGCGGAAAAACCAGTCGACAAAATCTCTCCCTACCAATAGGCTAAATCGGCGTCGTATGTTGGCTAAGAAATTTCGTTTTAATGTGGGTCAGCAAGTATTACGATCGATAGGTGTCGAGCGTGGGTCTGGTTCTTACAGTTTACTTAATCTGAAGACTGCTTTGAATGTCGTTTACAATTTTGCTCGTCTATATGGACGAGGTAGTACTGCTAGAGTTGGGTAAAAGGTGGATGACTCGTGCTAATGACTCCACTTGGTTGGCAACGCAGTGTGAATTCGGCTTAACTAAGTTAGATACGCTTGCCAGCCCCGCGCCCTCCAACCTGTTCACATTATGATGTTCACCGCTTTCGACAGCTCAGGCCATCAGCCGATTTCATGTGAATCGTTTCCCCCTACATTCTCCAGATCTGTGTCTAAAGCATGTCCCGCCATTATGGAGTCTTTGACGAGCTCCAGATATTCGTCCGCATTTTTTTGTGGTTTGGTTATGCCCACCATTTTTGTTGTGTAGTTCCCTCGCTGTTGGTCCTACAAAAACCTTAGTGAACTCCTTGCATTTAATTTTATGCACACAGTCTCCACTGCTTTCAAGAGGAAGCGTTCCATCAACTGCATCAATACAAAGGCTAGCGTTTTCCCCTTCTGGTATTGGCTATGTTCAGTGCCCTTCGAATAACCTCAGATGTTCCTAGTTTATACGGAATCGCTGCTATGTCAGTCCTTTCTAATTGGGTATTGATACTGAAGTTACCTTAACTCACTGTATATTCACTTCCATAAAATCTATTTTTGATCTACATTCAGTCAAGTTCTCCCATGCACAGTGCTCCAACTAGGCCAAGGCAGTACTAGCGTACATGGTCCTCGGATGAGCTGCTGAATAGCTTAGAACGGCACTTGTACCTGTCGATTTCTGGTTGAGGATATTTTTCAATTTTTCGTCACTTTGATGTGTCATACAGTCCAGCAGAGTAGTGTGCCCGGACCGGATTTACCTGGCTTTTTCCTGGTGCCTAAGTTTACTCCACTTCTAAGTGGAGTAACGTATTTTTTTATCAACAGATCATATTTCCACATTTGAATTACATTATTATTACAAAAGAAGTCACAGGGACAATTCACTATTGGGTCTGCGGATGTCTTGTCGTGCCGGCAAATTTCCATAAAAAAATCTGCGAATAGCCGAAGACGCTAAAGGGGAACAACGATACAGCGGAAACCACCATATTGAGCTCTTTCAGTCCGTGGATTCACAGTATATGGTAGAATGGATAGTGGATTATGTATCTGTCACAAAGAACACAAATTCATTTACCGCACAACGAAGTACATTGCAAAAAGTAAAATCAATCAAATTGAAACCCAGTAGATACAAAAGTCATTGTGTTCGCATTAACTACATATCACATCAACTGGACGATCTTATGGTAAGCTGGCAATTCAACTGGAGGAATCAACTGGTTAATTAAATTAAGTTTTATTTTTTTCCTGTGGTGTCATTGAGTTTTTGTACTCTGTATAGCGTTACTGTTGAAGCTTCGTGCTGGTTGAACACGCAATACTATCTTTTATTTGGATCCTAACAGTACTTCGGGGCATCGTCAACTGGCAATCGAAAATCGGCCGTTTGGTGGACGGTCTTGTTGAACTTTCGAAAACGAGTAGCTCATGGGTGATCCGTTTTGGGTTGGAGGACCCGTTGTACAGCCATCCAATTAACTTCCGATCTGCACACGAGCACATAGTTAGTCAGGTGAGCCACTGTGTATTTCCAAAATTTTGACATTCTGTTTCATGGCATTACACACAGCCTTTGAAGGTTTCTTCTCGTCGTCGTCACCAGTGAGTTTTGACCATGCCAGAAAAACGACAGCGGCAGATTCTCATACCGCCAGTAAGCACTCTACGAGGCGGGCCGCCACCCTGAAATGATGCCTGAACAGTAGTGCAGTGCTGTAATGTTATATAAGCTGGAAAGATGGGAAATTCGTTTCTCGGAGTTTAACCATGCGATGAAGTCGAGACGGGGCAGAGAGCTTCCACATCACCGCCAATCGTATTGTGAGTTCGTCCGGACTTGAGATCATGCTGTTTTCTATGACAGCAGTGTGTTAGTCAATAGACTGTTCTTTTAAATGACCAGAATTTCAATGTAATGAAACGGCACTGCTTTCATACTGAGATGGAATAATAAGCGAATAATATATCCCCTGAAATCTATTCACCTCGGCCGCTCAGTGTTTGATGGCCAGTGCCGGCGACTCGCCTAATCGACCAAATAAATTAATTTCACAACAAGCCTGATGCGGCCCCCAAACACACATAAAATGTGGAAGTTTCATGTGTCAGAGATTCGTACATCTTTGGGTTAATCCAGGTCCCCTTCAACGAAGTGCCGTGTCACTGACGCCAGGTATCACCACCTATATTGTTCGGGCTGCTTAAACAGGCAACTCACAGAATTCACGACCGAAGCCCTTCATCCTCCAGTTGTCGTGCCCAAAGTAATATAACTTTAAGAGCTTTCTTCATTTTGGAATACCGCGAATTATGACTTACCCGCATAGCTTTTTGTTCACTGGCCCCCCTTCTTAAGCTTCTCTGAGTAATAGCAACAGCAAGCAGAGGCCAATCTGACAAATATCAAATTATACCAGTCATGCAGGTTCCCGTATGATTAAATTGATAGTTACATGTATTCTTTTATCCATACGGCCGCCGTAGTTTGTCTGAAAAACATGGGGTTTTAGAACAACTTTCCACCTTTTTCATGCGTTTTTCCAGGTCAATCACTGCTACAACGACACGTTCGTACTGAGTGCGGTGATCGCTCGCCTTCAAGAATTGACGGATTTGTTACGAGTAAGTATCTCCATTTGTGCATTATTCAGCACCTATTGTTTGCTAGTTTCAACTCCTCTCTTTTCACATATGTATTGTTTGCGAACCAATACTCAAAGAGCCGATAGTGTTCTCCTTAGGAGGCCAGCCTGGAGTGATTTAATGGTAATTTGGAATCACTTGGAGGCAGTTTCCTGCACAAGATGTAGAGGAAGGAAGAAATGGACAGAAATGAACACAAACCGCTCACCAATGGTACAGCAGTGAAGCATCAGCGTTAACATTGATGTTGCTGTCTTTAGTGGTAACTGATGCTAATGACACACTAAAGTGCACCGTAAATTCCTTCAAGTATTCGAACGTTTAAGCGGTTGTCACTTCACTTGACTGCTTCACTGAAGCTTTCTGCTGCTAGGTGTCTTGTAATTATAAATTGGGGCCTTCGGACATACCAAAGTATGCTTTGATCGTTCGCTCTAACCCAGTTTACTCGACCCTTTCGTCGTAATGCTCAACTGCACTTTACTATTTGAAATCATCTCGTAACGATTCGGTGTACAGCAAGCTTTAGCCTTCTGCATGAGCTAGCGTGAAAGCCGCATTATTCGACTATCGATACAATTGAATTAAATCGATGGAACATTGAGTTCGATGACTATGAGTGGTTCACTTCATGGGTCTTCTAAAAAAGTAGCCAGCTGGAATATTGGATATGTAATTAAAGCAGTCGAAGTCCACAAAGATCTTATTCTGAAGATCGCCATAAAAATTAGAGACAGTAATCACACCCCTTGGTCTATGAACCTCTCTTGAACGGACATCGGGTTGTCAAATTGCTGAAGTCAATCACTGTTCGTTAAGAATCGTGGGCGCATAGACTAATGAGTTTATGTTGCTAGCACACTGCTGCAATATTGTATCTTACTGACAAAGTGTGAAGGGGGATAGCGGATAAGTGCTCTTCTCGCTTCAACCTGTTCCCTTTGTCTCTGGCGTGTGGTCCCGGTAGCCACCTTGATACTCGCTTCCGCAACCAACCAGCAGTGTGCTGTGTACGTTTACGCGTCAGGACCCGTGTGCTAGGTTTTGTCTCCTAGCTTGGGAATCTAACACTGAAACAATCGCAACGTGGATACATTTTAGCTGTCAGTCTGGTTGTCGCGACCTGCCCGAGGGCTTGTGAGGAAAGGAGAGTATAGACACAGCTGTCCCCCTTTTGAGAGACAATATGTATGCTGTTCGGATTGGAAACGTGATCCGCCCGCCGTGGAGACGTCGCAAAGCAACTTCGAGTCCGTAAATCCCAGCCTTAGTGTTAACTAGAAAGAATGAAATAGTGAGCACTTGGAACGATTCCACTGTAATGCAAATGGGAGCAACCATCGGTCATTAGAAGTGCTCTGTACCCGGACTCTCTCAGTGTTCATCAGCAAACAAACCATCGTAACGCCAATACTTGGTACTCAGATCTGAAAAGTAGACGGTAAAATGGCCACAGATAACAAGGGAATTCTGTTGCATCTTAGAAACTGTGGTACCAAGAGCGTATGTGTACACCACTTCCAAGACGGAGCGGGCAGCCAGTTTGGTGACAGCCATGCAGGGATTCTAACCCATCAAAACGAAAGTCTATGGTTTTAACCTCTAAGAATGTCACCCGACAGCGTCGAGTTGATCTTCCTTGTCCCGAATAGCATTTGGAAACTTCGGCCGCTTGATAGTGAAATCATGTGATGCTTTAAAATCACCTACTATAAGGGATCGGCGCACCTTGTTCTACCGCATACAAGTGATCAAATGGTCTAAGCAAATTTAATGTGTTTTGTTTGGTAGCCAAGTGTGGTGGATGCGATATATTGTTTCAAAACGGCTTGGGGAAGTTTACGGAGTTGTTCAGTTTTACTGTAACCTCCCTGGATCTTTAATTACAGAACCCATCACAATTTGAAACTCGAAATAGAACAGTATCATTCAAACTTCCTGAGGCCACAGCAAACATTTGATGAGTAGGGTGCAGTAGGGTGCAGTAGGGTGTACCGCTACATCTTTACATATTCGTAAAATCCATCGTCTGCCAAGAACAGCTTGGAATAAAGGAGGGCAATAATGACAACGCCACCGACAATTGTGACGCACCAGAGGAAGATAAATGGGCACTCCCAACACCGACTATTCTTGCGATTTTCGGCGCTTATCCATCAATCTTCTCCTAATAAGGACCGTGCCGCACTGACGGGCGTTTGTATTCATGTGCTGTACTGGTCTACAGAAACCAGTCACGGAAAGTGGTTCTCTTCCAGCGTCGCCTCTTTCGATTCACTGGGTTGGGTACTCCGTAAAACGGTACTACGCAGTATACTTTCATTAATACTACCGGTGGATCTGCTGTCTCCCCAGTCTGTTGTTTGCCCTGGTGGGAGCCTCAGATACATACTAAGGAGAGGCACTTTCCATCAAGAACTGATTTGACTATTTCGGCATAACACTACTGATAAGGTTGCTGAAAACCCTTCGATTTGACTATGTTTATCGTCCGATGAAGCTGGCAAGAGGCCTTAGAAAAGTATACTAGTCCACATTGATTTACAATCTTCTCCCATGACATCCTACTTAAGTGAGGAGATTTTTATGGTATCCGCAAGCATAAATCTGCAGACACATACATACCACACTCGACGAGTGTGGAAATGAATCACTAGTTTGTTTTGAACGGCAATACTAGAAACGCGCACCTGACGAGCTTGCAACAGTTTCGTTCCGCTAAACGAATAGTTGTGGAGCCCTCCCCGACAATCCATTGTCTGCCATAATAAAGCGGTGAATAAGCATTGTAAAAATCAGACAGCACGTCCTTGTGTGTAGCTGGGTTTCCCACTCACCAACTTCTAAATCCTTTTCGCTCGATCCGTCAGATGTTATTCGATTGTGTTGTGTCATCGTAATGCGGTTATCCATTACCAGTTCTCATCACATGGTCGAAAAACACAAGGTTTTGATGCTGCTCACCGAATTTAACCTTTTTTTTGCTAAGCCAAATGGGCACCTACAACTGTTCATTTCGTTTGGAAAATGATCATGCATTTCGTGCAGTAAACGGAGTAAACTGTGTAGGACAGCGTTCCATCAGGTATTATACGCAAAATCCCCCCACTATTGTCTTTCAGATTTAACCGGTGCTATACACGGTCTAAGTGTGACTTAAGTGTTCTGCTAATCAGTTAACCATAGCTCAAACGCAGCGTCCAACCTAAGTAACGTCTGCACTAATTCCACACCCAATGAGTTATTTTCCTAATATACTATCCAACCGTTTGCGATGATTTTGCGGATATTTCGATGAAAGATTTTAGCGACAGTAGTACATGGTATGGGAAAACTTATCTTGTGTGAGCACCGAAGTCATAGACTGTAGTTTCTCTCTAGTTTATCTCGTACACCCTGAGCCTACTCTGATGTCCAACAGAATGGCAAATAGAAATAAGGATAAGTCGAATGTTAATTGTGTTGGGACAGGTAAAATATGAAGTAAGTTTGTTAATTCCTAGACAGAATCGAGTGTTGCACTTGAAAGGGAACTCAAATGAGACCGAAACCCTTTTGTTAATTGTGTTGGGACAGGTAAAATATGAAGTAAGTTTGTTAATTCCTAGACAGAATCGAGTGTTGCACTTGAAAGGGAACTCAAATGAGACCAGAAACCCTTTTCCTACCCTGTGATACGAGTTGATTCTGTACTATTCCAGGTTCCTGTGAGACTGTTATACTTTCGTACACAGCCCGAATGACGTCAAATGCATTTCTAGTATTTGGTTGCTTGCATCCTTGGAGTCGCCTCATTTTTTCAAACTTCTTGTGTGATCTTCAACACCCCTACACCGCCTCTTCGGATATCCACACCGAACGCCTGATCCTCAAGTCCACTTGACGTTATACGAACTGCATCCTCAATTATGGCACCCACACTTGATGGACAAAAACCTTTATCTAAAAAAGCACAGCTTTGATTTGCATTTTCCTGGGGTTGTTCAAGTGAATAGTTTATTGTTCTGATCGTTTAAGAATAGTGCGAGTATTTGTTAGGTTTTTAGAACGACAATTGTTATTTACAGACATTCTTAAAACAAGTTGAGTATTCTCATACACTCTGGACGTCTGAGACTCGTTTTACCGTAAACTATCTCGTTGCCACAGCTTTTTCAAGGGCGTAAGAGATCATGGTCCCAACGGGATGTTGTATGCATTGTTCTGAAAAATCTATCCTTCATGTTTTACTTTGGAGAAGAATACTTCATTTTAGTCTGTACAGTCGACCATTACACTCAACACTTCCCACAAGTTTTTATCGCTAGTCATCAGCGGCGTGCTGATGATTTTAATAGCATCAAACCCGTGAAAGCCACTTGTTCCTTGTGCATTTAAATCTATTTGTAGGCTCTTTCTTGGCCTTCTGTTGGCCTGCTTCTACCTTATAATGATATGAATGTCAAGTTTAGTTCATCAACGCAGCGGAAAATGACTATAGGAAATTTCAGAATATCTTTAGTTAGTACCTCTATGGGGTACCGTGGGGGAGCAGTATTTCGTTTGTTGGTTCTTTCAGGCTTTCTTGGAATGCTTATGTCTTTTGTCTGCACAAGGTACTCAGCTCTCCGTTGTTTTCAAGCTGTTGTTTGCAGGTGGCACCAATCACATCCCGATAAACTGCTCCAGCAGGCCGGCTAAACTAAATAGGGCAAGTATCACAATCGATATGACAACAGCGCTTGCGGATCGGGCAGATGAAGCGTATGAGGATCCGGCAGACACAGTAATGGTGTTGTGTTCTCAATGGTGCATAAACCTGTGAATGCAAATTAGCCTATCAAGCAGACGACATCCTGAATTTGATTGTTCATCCTTAAGCAAAGCACCGGAATGCCCTTAGCACTCAAGTGATGACCGCACAACACACCGCGTCGATTGCATCTGGTTTTCTTACGCTCGACGTCGTCGACTGCGGATCTTATTACGGTGTTGAAACAGGATACAAGAAGGAAACATAACACACACTATTACATACCACTGTCCGCGCAATCTAGATGACTAGCCGACTGAGTCTTACTGCAGCTCTCAGAGAAACGACAGCTAGTTGTTTGCCAATTTTTCACGCAACTATATAACGGCAACAAAGACATGGTCAGGATTATTAACAGTCAAGAAAAAGACGAGCTAACTCAAGGAAACGATAGGCCTCCACAGTACCTAAGGACGATTATCTCCTATGCACTAAAACATCCGCTTTGAATTTGAGGACCAAGCATATAAGCAAATAGATGCGTGGCAGTGGATAGCCCGCTTGGACCTCTACTAGCAAATGTCTTTTTAGGCATGACTGAAAGACAACTTTACCAGTATCCCTCCAATTCTCTACAAATGGTATATGGACGAAATTTTGGTTTGCACAGACTTCAACCACTGAGAACCTCTATAACATTTAGGCGTTTCATTCAGACGTTTCAGTGACTTGAAACAGAAACTGGGGAATCTTGCGTTTTCAGAAGTCCTTATAACCAGACTTTCAGATGACCCTTTTAAGCACCCAGTCTACCGCAAGTTCACATGGACTTGACAGTATTTACAGTTTTCCAGTTTTACTTCTGTAGCTTATTAAAACAAGTCTGACGCCCACTTTGCTCGATCGCACCAGACGTGCTTGTACTCCTGACTCTCTACAGGAAGAAGACGAGCTCTTAATAAGGGCACTGACTTCTAACACCTGTCCACAGAAATTTACCAACCTTCACGGTAGGCCACGGCACAAGCGGGAGCCTCATTACTCAGTGAAATAAAGTTTTTTTTCTCAAAGATTAGATTACAGTTTAAAGACCACCTAATCAAAGCCTTACGGCGTAAATAACGTGCTGTGATTGGTTATACCATACAGCAGCTCAGCTAATCATGCTCCCATCAATGAGACAATCCGATGTCCGATATGGGCCGCGTACTGCACCCAACCTCCCTACCTCACCTTATGTGCCACCTCATGTAGTTGCGATGAAACACACATTGACAGGATAGAACTTATGCGAATGTCTCTCGTTATTTGAGCCACGTGACCAATCGATTGGCCGGTGAGACCTGCATATTCTATCTACTGGATGCAGATTTAGTCCCAGTAGAGCGTTCGGAATTTCATTTCACAAGGTCGGAAATTGTTACCTTTCAGTACAATCATGTTCAATATCGTCCCGGTTTGTGCGCACTAAAGACCCTGGTCGAAGTTTTCAGCTTCCCTTGGATTTCAGAGCCGTATCTGATTGGCCGACCTTACGATTGCCTCTGTTCTACTGTTTCATCGCGTTTATCTTTATTTATAATGTAAAGAGACAGTTTTCTCCATTGCGACTTGAGAGATGGAAGCGAATTGTCTACATATCTCGGCCGTTGTCTTCTTGCTGCATTATTCGGATGACCAGAATTCAAGCGTCTTTCTAAGTAAGTGACAAGCTCAGCCCGAGCAGACGCTGCGGTTTCTGCACTGATTCGGCATCAGAAGTTGAAAAGATCACCGGTAAATATTTTGGGGCTATGGGCCAGATTACAACCACTTATGTGACGGCAGCAACCAAATAACTTCGGACCTAATTGGGGTGTGTGAAACACGACTACTTAACGGCTCTCCACAGGCGTTCAGCAGACCTTAAAGTAACCTTGGCAACAGAACACAGTTCAACCTGTGATCCTTTCTCGCGGGGAAAATTTACTTTACCGGTACAGCACCGAAAGGTAGTAAAATGTTGGATTCTGTCGAAGATTTCTGTAACCTGATCACCGAAGCCATCACCTGTGATCGAAATTTCGGACAGTTTCATTGAATATAGGTACTGTGTAGTCACAGTAGTTTTCGCTAATGATCAACAACCCAGATCGTTCAAACTGTCTAATTTCCTGCCAACTCACTTCCGAGATAATTCATCGAAATCAACCTTCTTATTAAGGTTAGTATGTACAAGGTAGCGATCCATGTGGTGCGTGGCGTCTCTGCTGCGGATGCATTCGAAAGCTAGCAACATTTTTACTACTGGTAGATTCGACTGATGCTTGTAGAAAGTGTTTAACATGAAGTTTCATCAACGGTTTGGTGACATGAAATAATACTTGGTTATCTAACGTCGACAACCACGGTGGTTAGGACGAATATTACGCAAGCCTGATTCTGAATTCAGCAAATCAGGGGACGCTATCGACTTGATTTGCAACCGGAAACCTAGTTGGACGTTGTCTTGTCTAAGGGCGAATGAGTTGGATACTGAAATGTTACCGGTTCATGGCCCTGGAATTCAACGTGGCTAGTTGATCTTCTCCTTTACCATTGCCTGCCGCTAAATTTGATTGGCTACGGACCGAGATGTCTGAGACACCAAGTGAGAAAGTAGTCTCGATAAAGCAGACGATGAGGTGTCTTCAGGTAAAGGGAATAACAAAATATAGCCCTTCGCTTAACCTTGATCAGCCAGGACCGGGTCATCCAACTCCTAGTTCCTAGCCAAACTGTTCTTTCCATGATCATCAAATAATTCTACTTTTGCTTTAATTCTATAGCATTCAACGGGCGGTTTACAGTGCGCAGACTCAAACAGTTTTCAACAAACAGTGTTGGGTATGAAAAACCGGTTCGAATAGGAATTTATTTTATTGCCTTATTGATGACAGACATGTTGGGATTACACCCGTCGCCACACAATGTTTTTTATTCCAGTTCATTTCTAACTTCTCTCTTGTTCTTGTAATTCTTCATCTGACTCCCGGTTGATAATCTATAGTTTGGAAACAGCAGTTCTAAATGTGGATTTGCTCAAACTGCATATCCACTGTAGTCCACATGTAACCTCTTTCGCTTTCGGGCATCCGAATGGATCCGGATTTCCCCACTTTACACCGGTTGAGCGAGACCAACTATGCGCGACTGCGCAATCCGTCGTTTTTTTGGACAAATGAGGTCGGTGAATGTTCTAATGCTTCAATGACAGTTGCCCATGGTTGCATCTCGAAATGATAACAGTGAATGCAGACAAAGTTTGACAAAAACTGCCAAGAAATATCCTCTGTGGGATTTGTGCCGACCATTTGGTGACAGCACCCTAATAACTCGGCCGGAATATAACGAAATGATAGAGATTCCGTTTTCTCCATAAGCTCGAGATACGTACAACGACTCACTTTGTGACTCAGATTGTCAATCCGCTCTGTCAACACAGCCAGTTCGGTTGTTTCAAGCTATCTAATTTCGAATTTGTTACTGCTGACCAACGTAATCTGTTTAACTATTCGTTAGTCTTTCGTCGTTAAACTAACGTGAAATCGAGACGCTCGATACGAATTCAGACCTGGACGATTCTTTCACACCAGTATTTTATTTAATGGTGAGATATTTAGAATAACAACGCCCATCATGCTTCGGTGCATACTAGAGTGGGTTGTCGAGGGACACTTCGTGAAGAGCTCACCGGTAAAAGTGGAGTGTTCGTAGTCAACACAGCAATCAACTCAAGTATGTTGAATTTGGGAGTAGCTCATTTATAGAGTGAATAGCTCTATAATCTGAGAAGTAAACAACACTTCTTTGGTTGCCCGACTTTAATGATCGAGTCGCAGCACATCTTCGGCTAAAAACGATCTGTAAGGTTTTGCGTATTCATTGTTCGTGTCTGTATATTCTTACAGTATGATTATCTTTCATTTTAGAAAACAGCTCAATCCTCAGGTGGTCCCGGTCCGACCAGCTTCATGTACCTCCGTGCACTAGCAGATTTAATTGTCATGTTGGCCCCGATTGCTCCAATCTTTGCATGCGAAATGTGGTCCAGACTGCAAATCGCATGTAACGAAAACACATCCTCCAACGTCTTAGATCTGTTACGCTCGGTGGAGTCATCTGACCACAATGGTTTTCACCCACTGGGAACGTGGCCTTATGATTTGGTGAGTCCTAAACTTACGGTTTCTGATTTTTTTGTCCAACACATTCATCTAGCGGTTGGGCTGCAACTTTATTAGGGTCTCACTAATTTTGTTAAGAATATATTGCTTGCCTACCTACCATATGAACACATCGCAGTTGCAACTGTCTTTAAGAACACATACAGTCGTGTTTGGACGATTGACTTAAGTATGGTGGAACTACTTTGGTGAGGTCAAAGACTTATGCTTCAAAATTCTGCGTCTGACATGGCTCTAGCCGACCCGTAGTGAAAAAGCCAAGTAAACGGCAAAACAATGGTCAAACAAAAGTTTGCTTATCAGTGTGGATTTTCGGCAGGTGGTGTGATTTTATCTTTTTCCGCTAGACCGGTTTCGGCAGACGATAAAGTGAGCTATCCCGTTGACAATCCATTTCCTGTCCATCGTATTCTAGCGAAATCCGGAAGAATCATATTCAGTCTTTATTTTCACATCGCTTGGGTGCTGCTTTCGAATGCAGGAGATGTCAGTTAGAACTTGGTCGCTTTTCTTTAGATATTTTGCAAAGCGCCCAAAATTAAGCACTAATAAGGGTGACGAACAACGGATTCAGTTTGTTGTAATTAAGATTTTGTCCAGTCAGTGAAGCCGATTTCTGTTGAGAAGCCGGAAAGCACTGCAAGGCTGTTTTATCCTTTGGAAATTTTCAGCAGTGCGCATCTCACGAACGTCAGAGTTTCTAACCTGCAACCTTCCGGCCCGTCCTTAAACAGAAATTTATTCTTCTCATCCGAATGATGGAAACCTCAGTATTCACGTTTTTAAGGGGGGCTTATTTGTAGACTTGCTTATCGCTGAGCCCTCCGTAAGCCAATTTCTCGTTTTTAACTTTTAAGTCTTCTTTGTGTTGAAAACAGTCTGTCGATTTGTCTGCCCTCATAGATCTGGAGGCGGAAGGAGCGCTTTGTTTAGCACCTATTTCAATGGATAGACATGCATCCCATAAATGACACCTCTGCAGGCATAGAAATGTGTATAAACTGTTTTTTAATATTGCAAGAGAACCGTCTGCTTCAGGATTGCTTAGCAGTCAAAACTATTTGCGTTTGCCCCCATGAGTACCATCTTCCTTAGAGCTGATCTCTGTTTCGGATGATTTTCTTCATGGACAGGGGAATCTGTACTCATCTCAGTTCCTTGGTGATGATATGAATTGCCGGATAGTGTGTATAAAGCAGGCCATTTCAGAAACTAAAAAATTCCTGCACATGTATGAGTGCGGACAAGAACGCAGCCTATCACAACGACTTCCACCAGTCCTGAAAGCTTTTAGTCTTCGGATGAAAAGTACCGTGTTGTATCTACTAATGTGGATAGTTTCGTTGATCTCATTTCATGATGCGTCATCTGTTTGTTGATGTACTGTTAAGACAGGAGACACCCACCAAATGAATTCAATTTTCTCCTCATTGTTCTCTTTATTATGTGGTTGCCTCTCCTCGCACGTTTTCAGAGTAAATTTGCCCTGGATCAACCGTTCCCGGTACACAGTGGTTGTGCAGAACTGGATATCGGTTCACAGAATTCTCGAAAAGTGGATGAATTCAGGTCAACATCCAACTAGTTTTTGTTGTACATTGGACTATTCAAAGTCAATAGCTTGTTTTGTACAAAATGTATATTACAGACGTCAGCCCACACAAACCTTTCTTTCGATTGATCAAAATACAAAACTTTGCGCTGATATTGGTCCTCAGGCATAAATAAATTGTTTTATCTGGCGCCTTGAATAGCATTGACATCAAGTACAGAGAAAAAACAGTCCCATGGGTACAATTTTGTCAGGAACGAATTTTCTCCCCTGCAAGCTGCTGCTGTTTGACACCCTTTAATTTGACCGATATAAGCGAAATACTTTGCAAATGCGACGCAAAGTGTATTCGTATTCCGTCGATTTCCAACATATATTTTCACGAAATTACTTTGGTCTGCTGTCGGTGAGTCGTTTGCGGATGGAATTTAAAGTGGGTAGTGCAAAGTGTAAATAGTTCACTTTTAGTCTGATGCCTTTAAGGTGTACTGAGTAATCGTGGACGAAGTGTAATTAATTATTAACACGCTCCCTGGCCTGATATTTCGAACAAGGTGAGCGAATTCGGTCACACTAGAGCTGAAGTCTCAGTTCCTTTGGACAACAAGAGTAAAATAGAGAGCGTCACGCTCAGCCTTACGATCATACTGGAGAGAAAGACGGCGGAAAGGTTGTGACAAAACAGGATAGAGTGATGCATCCAACCGCAATTTTTTTTATTACATCTCAGCGCGTCAAATTTATGTTCGGAAGATTTGACTCAAATTCATTCCCACGACATTCCATGGCTCTTGTGCACACTGAGAAAACCTGATAGCATCTCGGCCGTCGTGTTTTACGCTAGCTAAACGCCAGATGACACTACTGCTCAACGGTTTCTCGGGACGTTCCTTGATTTCTGCCAATGGGAGACTGAATCTTGTCGTGTGGTTTGCACTCTCATGTATCCCATCGCTCCATACTTGCGGTTTTGTGTGTGATAGCTTCAAAGTTCGTCATGCCAGTTTGCTCAACAGGTGCAGGTCATACTAAGTCTTCTGGGTCTCCATGTTGGTCGTCGGAATACCGTATCCTCGAGCGTCGTTTACCCTGGCGATTGCAGGCCAATCACCACTCCATTGAGGTCACGTTTTTTACCAAAGGTTTTGATTGAGAGTCCCTATAGTCTTCCCACCTAAACTTCAGCGTCTTGGAAGAATTTCAGCCTGCACAACTACTAGTAATTCCGCGTCATAGTGGTACTTTCGGCCTGGTTGCCATGCCGCATTCAACGAGGCTACTGCCAAAAGCTCTCCCCTCCGGTATTATCACACAATTCCCTTCGTATACCGTTTACTCTTCAATTTTGTAGATCCCATCTGTAGGCATGGTAAACTTGAACCAAAGAAAGTTACTAACTGCACACCACTGAAAAAATATGCCTTTTATCAGACTTTGTTCTCCTGTTTTTATTGCAGTCCCTGACAGACGAACTGGCTAACAAACTGATGTAGCGCACCCTTGACAGTTAACTAATAGGCGTTTGTTGCATTTTCGAGATGAACACAAGATCCAATTACGATAATTGATGGAAAATTCGTTTTCCAGACGCTAGTAGCTACGAATTTCAGGCGATTATGCAGTTGCTACATTGGGTCCCGCTGGCGCTAATCCAGCTCACATTCCTAGCTGACACATCTGTTCCAACCGAACCTTTCTTGGTTAGGTCACTGCCTTAGGAACCCTCAGTACCTGAGTCATTCTTTCCTTTTCGTATATCCTGCGTATGCGTCAACCAACTGTAATTCTGTCTCGGTGCTCACCAAGTAAGTACTGGATTTCGCTCCTTGATGCGTTGACAGAAATTCTGTTAGGCACTTTACCAAAGTGTGAGTGAGGTTAGAGCAACGTTGGATAGTCAGAGGTCTCCCGAAATGTAGAAATCGAATGCATTGTGAATGCTGGAAAAATTTCGTCGCAGCGAAAAAGATTCTGGAGACCGGTTTCTAATGCGCCAATCAACGACATTATCGAAAATCTTATACATAATGATAACCAGCTTCCAAGTTCAGTTCAGCTTATTAGCTATGACCCATATATCAATGCTTCCAGCTGCTACAGTTTCGGTCGCTGAAAAGTGGTGTGGGGGACATAGCCAAGCACTGGGGGCGATGGCATGATCAGTAGATTCTCGCTGCAGATTGCCCTGAGGAAATGGGAAACCAGCCAGCTACGTGTTGAAGGTGATGGGCTAGCGTTTCTGACTGCGTGAGAGGGGCATGTCTGCCAGTGGTTTGTGTTTTCATTCCTCTTTGCCAGGCCATAGCCACTCAATCAACCAATCGGTTCAATTTATCAACTATAAACCTTTTACCATAAGCACATTGGTTCTAGGCGCTGCACTTCCGATCATCGGAAAGTGGGAGAGTGCGGGACGTACAGCCAAGTCTTGGGGACGATGACATATTCAGTTAGTTCGCGAACCGGGGAGCTGCACATAGAAGGTGATAGCTTTGATGCGCGCGCGTCATTGTTTGCGCGAATAGACCATTTCTGTCAGTCTGACCACTGGTGAGTTGAGTTCCGAGGCCCCACTCGGGGAGTCGGCAGTTGTCGGTCCGACTAGTAAATGTCTTCATACTTCGTTGCCGGATCATCCACTGCCCACCTCTCGGTCGCTTTCACTCAGCACAGGGCTGGGCGAAAAGAGCTCAGCAGTACGGACGGTCTTCTGACATGCGTACTACATGTCCTAACCGTCGTAAACTATGGAGCGTGAGTAATTCGTCTATCGCGGGAGGTTTCATTCTTCCGAGAACCATCTGGGGTACCTTAGAATTACTACTCCGATTTCCTTACCAGACCCGATCACTGCTTTGTAGACGCTGATGATCGAACGCCGATTTCTTTGGCATGTGCTCTGCGTGTAGTTGCCACGTTTCAGATACACAAGCAGTTTAGGTCAACTGCCACAGTGCAAACTGTGCCGTATGTGTAGAAGGCCTTCCCGATTCCAGGCAATCCAACTGTACTTATACAACTGCTCAGGTAAACATATTTATCTATCATGTCGTTTTTCTCGCCTGCAAACATGAGGTTTGGGTTTGGTACAACTCACTCTTGTAGATGTACATTCCACTGCAGGTGTGAAGTGCATGCCAAACCGTGCGGCAGACTTATGAAGTCATCTGAGAACGACCTTAACCAAGGAGAGCGATTTCGTCCGGAAGCGAACGTTGCAGGAGCATTTCGACCCTCAAGGTTTCAGACGTAGCCAGACACCCAAAGCTGTCACCTTGTCGTGGTGGGTCGGGCTTTTGTGCTGGAATGATCTTGCAAGCTATTATGGCAGGAACTCCATTTCCAAAGGTTCAATCGGCCCAGGGAGGCCAATAAAGAACAACCCGACGAAGAACTCCGAGTAATCTTATTACGGAACGGTTTAGTAGTAAAGTTGTATTGTGCCCTACGATAAGATTATGAAGGCAGCAAGGCGTTTCTCCCAGGCGATCAGCCTGTCCATAATCATGTAAAGAACGATGATGCCCCCCTCCCACCCGAGAAAGGGCTAGTTAGAGTCGGCTGGCCCCGAAAGTCGCACATTCCGATTACCCATTGGTTGACCGTGATCGCCTGCAAGCTTGTTGGGGATATCAGTATCCTCGAAAACCGTTGAGTTGTCAAGCTATCGCCAAATTTATTTAATAACAATTTGAATTTCTGAATTCCACGTCTTCCGTCATATTGCGCTAGGAGTGGTTGGGCTCTTGTGATAACTTATGAATTGTGCACTTGTCCTCTTTTAGCGTATAGTTGTTCGTAGCCATCCAGCTGCAGGACGTCATTATTCAGTACAGTCGAGGTACTTTTAAAACCAAATAGTCCGGTGCTGCTCAAATGGCACCTGCTGTGCACAGTCGCCTTAACAATGAGACGGTAATGCCATCCTGCGTCCTTGGGCCAGTCGGGTCATATGGGTCGAACTATTGAGCCACTGACTCCGAGAAGGATCTTAGAAAACCCTAACAACCGTTGCCTCGCGGTTCGGACTGTCAGGTCGAAGGCTAGGGGCATGAACCTCGGATGAAGCCCTACATTCTTCCGCTGATTTGGTGGGGTACCCCAACCAACCCCCTTTCTTCGGCCTGGGCATTCGGGAACTATCATTTGCCCTTGTAGCTCCTCACTCACCCAAAGCACCGCGCCACCCATCGAACGATGGAGTGTGATCAACCCACCTGCCAATCCCCTAGCCGTCGCCCAGAAAGAAAAACTAAAAGGACCACTTACTAACCACACTCCAAGTCAAATTGAGTAATAGGTATATCTTCCTAAAATCTTGCTTTCCTATGTGTCGATGTGTGCTGTGTCACCGAAATACGCATGAAAGACCTCAGTTCGGTCATATACCTCAAGCCGATTACGACGAGCTCAAGTGTTCCACATTTCACTCTTCATGTACCTTGTACTTCTGACATAATGGCTCGTGAAATCCATTGTATGGTAGTGGCAGTCAGCCCCAAGTCTGAAAATGACTTACTGAATTGGATCCCAGTAAACAGTCGTCTTTGCGCTGTGCGGCTGTCTGGCTTAATATAGATCAGTGCAGGTCGATGCGGTGAAAGATGTTTATTTGTCGTATCAGCGGGCACCCCAACTGACTGCAACTCTGAGACTGAGAAGAACAGGTTTTATCATACTCTGTCACGTCTGCTTCGGTCAGCAAGAAGGACGGATATAGTAATCCTGGCGGGTGATATGAATGCCCAAGTTGGATGACTAAGTTGGGAAGAAGCACAATTGTCTTATAGATTTGGATTTGATGCTCAATGTATGCTATATTGGGGAGCAACTGCTTCACTTTTGTGCTGATCAACATGTCTTCCTAGCCGTTCACTCCTCGGTCGATTCTACTCAGTGTAGTGTTTGGCATAACCTACAGATAATGAATAGGCCATTCATTGCTGGAGAGTTCCTTTTACCTACAAACCATCTCGGCTACTTCGGTATTGCGGATTTGATGTTCCCACCAGACCAGGCGAATGTCAGTTAAACACTGATGGTTCCCACCCGACTGAAACTGTCGTTACTAAAATATCTTATCTTCACACATTATCGAACCACAGGTTCAGTTGGGTTTGCTTCAGCTTTACTCGA